GTCTGGTTTAATAAAAGTAACTTCAAAGCGTGAGGTTGTGTCATAAAATAATTAAACAATGATGTGTTCGGTGGGGATGGAGTAAGGAAATTTCAAGATCAATTGCAAATAGTTTTTGTGCAGTAAAGAGAATTTTATTGCGTGTAAAAATACATATAGGAAATCAAATCCTTCGATTCAACAAAATCATCCACAATCGAGTAAAAGCTATCATCACAAAATACTCTTTTACTTTCGTTAAATATATTCTCACAATAACACGAGAAAAGTCCTCAGGACCCCTACGACAAATCACACAAACAACTTAAGCAACCACGCAACTATTGTATATAGAATCGTCGACTACTTACCTGTGTCCGACGGAAAATTGCAAACAACGACACGGTCGTATTTGTAAAAACGGTGGAATCGGCAGCTGCATCGTTCACAGAACGACAACGGTTGTCTCCGCAGCCAGCGAGAGCAGAAAGCGTAGACAGGATATCTCGAGGAGAACTTTTAAGCGCACTCGTCCGGATCCACCGACACCTATTGGTATATCTTGTCTGTTGCGCGCACGAGTGGCGCTCGTTTCTCCAGTTACAAATCTTCGCTAGCCAGCGGCCGTGCCTAAAACAATATTGGCGGGACGGTAAAAGGGGGGATGGCGGGGGTGGACCCCTTGCACATTAGATATTTATTCAAGACCGTCCGACACGGCTGCTTTGCTCTTGTTCACCGTGGAACTCCGTGGTTTCCCGTGTACGTGCAAATACATGTACGGGGAGCGTGCACGGTGGCTCGCCTCGACGAAGGTACCAAGTAGCCGGGACTAAGTACCCCCGAACCCAAAATGTTGACCTAGTTAATAGCTTCGTGTTTGATTTGACTACTGTTGTCCCGGTAAGCGGCCCCGTAATGCGAGCTCGATGCTTTTATTATTATCGGCTAAGGAAACCCAATACCATTGAAATTATCTTCAATTAGGAGTACTGACACGCCTTTACTACTGTTTTCTTATTAATTTTTTTTTTTTTTCTAGCTTTTGTGTATAGAAATTATCGGTGACCAATCGTGTGGACTGATGTTCGTTTTAGTTTAAAAATGTACGTTAACTAAGAGGTATTAAAAATTAAACAGTTTGACAATTAACGTTCATTACTTTTACGAGAGACAAAAACCAAATAAATAAATAAATTGATGTGGCTGTGAACCCATACGCCTACTTAAGGGTTAAGGGCGAATTTGTATTATAAGTGATATTGTTTTTCCTATTTATGTAATGAAAACTTGACTGATAGAATTTATATATCGATCTAATGTAATATCTATATCGTATAAATTATATCTTACTTTGTGCTTATTAAAATGTTCTATGATCAATTCACATTATAATTGCAATTGATTCCGCAAAATGCAAAATAAGGAATTGAATTTGATGAAGTTCGACTCATGGAGAAGTAACATAATAGGTATTCCTTCGCTCGGACGGAATTTAATTCACGAAGATTCCCTTTAGTTACGGCGAAGTTTATCAAAGTAAGTTGTTTTCGTAACTGGTTGCTTCCCAATTCGACAGGGTAGCTGATGCAAATTACCGTTTTTCGCATTAGCATCTGCTCGTGAGAAAGAGTCGTATAAAAAGAAATGAGACGGACGAGAGGAGGTTAATGTGACGAAATCTAAACAGCATCTTGCAAGATCTGTGGCAGGAATGAAATAAAGTATCTATAATGAAAACCATACTTAATAAAATATTGTATATAGCATAATCGCACTTTGTATACTGTACATGACTCTATTTTAATTTGACAAATAACAAACTAAAAATCATTTTGATTTCATTGTTTTATTTCCAGCATTTTCAGTAAAGTTCCATACTCTCTAAAATTCTGAACGTAATAATGAAATCTTTGATCTGCTCTAACTAAATTTTTTGCTCAGATTGTTTCTTGCTCATTCCCATACTGCTTTAATGAGATGTGGTTAACTCGCGTTAAGTACATGCATTCATTATGGAAGCTTCCAATCATATTCGATATATAATTACGTTATATTTGTTGTAAGTGCAATGCTGTAAAATTGTTTTACGTTTTAAAATTGTTTTGACGAATAAAAGAGAAAACAATTACATACACTTTTACACACAATTCCTGGAACTGAACAGAATCTTTCAAGTGCATACAATTATATGCTACCGTGGACCTCCCTGTGAACTTTTAAAGTATCCTGCTTTAATATTCTTAATTAAATTATAAATTCTTTATTGCTAATTCATGAAAGGAAGAATACAATAGAAATTTATTTTTATTATCAATGACATTGGGTAATGAAAACAATGAAGTCTGATTTAAATTTTTAAACAATTATTATTGTACTGTAATAACAAAGTGCATAGTTTATTAACGAGTACTAAACCAACCCTCCTATAATGCGAGTCTGCAAATACCATTTCGATAGCATACACTTGAAAAATCGCGTAAAACGTTCCTATAACACAGTTTCGATATAACAATACACAATAAACGTTCCCAAACGTCACACAGCGACGATTTTTTCATTCGATCGTTTCACATAAAATTTCAGTGGAATCGATAGGGGTTCTCCGTGTATGAACGACAAAAGTGTTAATTCGAAATTTCGGTGAACACAGTTTCCATGTAACACAATACCAGTTAATCGTGTTATGAGAGGATTGCCAATACGAGTTGCAATTTGATGTACCTATATTTTGCGAATATCAATGGTCGATCGGGACGTTGGTTCGTAGCGAAAATTTAGCGTAGCCTGGAATCCACGGGGGGTTGGGAGGGTAGGAAAGCTAGAATCCAAAACTCGGAAGCCAGCGAAAGCCACTGATCCTAATGCAAAAGGAAGCGATCACTCGGTCCGGCGATCAATGAAGAGAGAGAAAAAAAAGGGACTTTTCGCAAGCCGACTTACACGTCTCAGTGACGATGTAACGACTTCACAATTCGAGCCGAGGCCTTGTTAATCCTCCACCCCGATCGATCGAGCCGGGGATTCATGCTGTTTACCCGAAACGGCCGCAGAGAACTCTCTTTGAATGCCCGCGTGGTTCTCAGCTGTGTTGCTTTTCGAAAAGAAAGCTCACTCTACCGTAACTCGACTTATAAATTTCCCTGCCCACCAATTCGAAACTATTAATATTCAGTGTACCAATGAGCAGACTCCGCCATGTTCCTTTCAACAAGCTGCCGATATACATAATGTGAGTTTATGGTATCCATTCAAGGCTTTTTCTCGGCACAATAGCGCAGAGTGTTAGACAACGAGAAGGAAATTACTGCGTGCAACTTTCCGGTTCTCTTCAATAATATACGTGAGAATTTCCAAAGACTGTAAATAATTTTATTCGTCTACTCTATTACTCACAATCACTAACGGTTACTGATTTAATTCGAAGAAGAAATAGAATGTTAAAAACTAACTGGACTGTCCACTTTAATACCAGACTGTACGTTTCATTTATACAAGTTTACATTTAGCGATCTGTAATCTAGTGCAACTTAAAGTGGTAAATTTAAAAAAATTTTGCCGTGGATGCTATTAACAAACCACCTATTATTAAAAGTTTGGTATCGGAGTTATCTTTTGATATTGTTAGATGAAAGAATAATATATTTTCTGTTGGTCTTTCTTTAAACAATTTTCGTAGCTGATTGTACAATTGATGACATTAGAAGTACAGGTAACGTGGATTCGTGTGATTTTTTCTGTAGAATTTTGTAAACGGTACGCTATACCCTCAAATACCATCTGTGCAAACGATTAAGCAGCCTACGGAGCGGGTAACGCTGAGTGTACAAATATTTCGACGTTCTTTCATGCAACATGAAAGGATGTCTCTTACGGTCCTTGGCACTGAAAGGAGCGAACCGGGGCATTTTGTAGCTACCCCCAACGTTTCGCCGCGTTGATCTCGAAAGGATGCGGCGTGGACGCGTGTACAAATTTTCAAATTAACGTACATTCATTTCGTTGAAGCGAATAGAATTTGTATTCGCACCGTACAAACAGTACGCAATATGTCGACATATATTATTTAGCAGATACTAGACCATCTCTTCAAATTGCAAGGAGGAACGTAAGTGATGCTACTGTCCTGCAGCATATCGCCATTTTTTTATTAGAGGAACGACTAATCTCGCTGAAAAGCTTCTTCGATTTTCTATTCAAATATTCTCAGGTGCCATTTTTGATAGTAACGAAATTAAAAAATTTTTTATTTTATGATGTGTCCGAATAACACGCTCTTTTTTTTTGACGTTTTATATCGCGTTCGAGAATCCTAAACGTTTCTCTGCCATAGATCATCCCGATTTTATTAATTGTTGTCACTGACGACCGTGAGAGATTTTTATTATTCGATTGCGAGTCAGAATACAAAATTCATCAGTAATTCTAACAAAATTACAGAAATGCACGAAGTCATTGAGCCTTAATCATTAGAATGAACTAAGAACATAGATATAATTCTTCTTTCTTATTATGTTGTACTCTGATAGCATTTTACCTTAAATCTTTAAATCATTCAAAACGTTTTAATAGATTAAATTTATGGACATTCTCGAAGCACTTCCGCGCGATGTATCTCTTCGTTCAGTTTTCTTTTTCTTTGCCCCCCCCCCCTGCCTTCCACCTCCGAATGGCGCGATTGCTATTCAGATATTCGAACCGCGGGGCTTTAATAAAAATATTTGCTAAGAAAACAGTTTGCCTGAGATACCCGGGAAGCAAGACGAGTTATTCTTATATCCAGATTCGCTGCGTATTCTCCGCCCACGATTTCCATAAATGCAGTAATTCGAAGTAAGACGGCCGCTGGCGTTTCCAACTTTTAATGGTATACCTTCGTAAACGCAATAAGTATAAAATGAATTTGTCAATAAACGGGTGTCTCTCCTGATTCATTTGTTTATTACTTTTATTTTATTTAAAAAACAAAACACGCGTATAACATTCATGAAAAGTCAAATATTATAATTATTTGTCCAGAATATATACTTATATATATAAAATATGATTAATATTTATTTATACATTTTGTTAGTTATGAAGCCCTAAATGTATGTGTTCTCTGTATTTGTAAAAACACAGTCCTCATCTTTGCAGACAGACATTCTTTTCAAGCGCTTTCTGAATCTATATCTGTGATTGCGCTTCATGCTGTATCCAATATTTTGCATTTGGTAATTGTCTGTAGTAATATTATATGCTTCAATGTAGTGCTGATAAACAACGAACAAACATTACTAATACGCTACTTCAACAATATGAAATGCACACTGACTTGTTAATGTTAATACCTGGTCATCCTCAAAAATGCAGAAGATATTATTGTATTTTGGTGAAACACGACGTATGCAACTAAATGTATTATTAGCAGCATCTTGACATTTACATGCCATGTCTTTCATACACTCCTATAAGCATTGTAACATTACATAATATAATTTTGCTATTAGTTGCAATGTGCCTACCATATGTATGAAACTTACTGATAGATTAACATCATTATCACTTGGACAACCTGATGATGGGATAGCCTTAGATTTTTCTCCCCTATACTCTATTAATAGGGTTCTATCCTGTGGCAATATCTTTTTTAATAAAGAAGATCCATCTGATGGATGTTCTATACCAGCTATTTGTAAAATTGTAGCAAATAAATCAACGCTACTAACAGGTGCAGAAACTTTGGATGGTACAATTCCAGGACCACGTATGAGTAATGGAACTCTAATATCTGACTCATATGGTTGACGCTTATCTATAGGCATACTGAACTGACCTAAAAATGTAATATATAAAATAAGTTTATATATAGACTCTGCAGTGTTACTTGTGTTGCATATAATATTAATTACCAATATGATAACCGTTATCAGATGTAAATATGATATTGGTATTGTTCAAAAGATTCTGTGATTTCAAAAATTGATATACATTTAGTACAAGCTCATCAACAGCTACCAATGTTTCCCATCTGCGTCTATATATATCATCTAACTGTGGTAGAACATTGTTAGGTAGTGGAGATGGACCCCTTCTCACTAACCAATGCTTATCCTATTGTGTAATGTACTTAACATCAATACAAAATAATATAAAAGAATATAAAATGCATTACATTATACCATTTGTGTAGGTGTATTAAAATTAGGTGTTCTTTTGGCTTTTACATCCTTGTACTTGTCATTATGTCTTACTGCTGGTATAAAGGGTGCATGAGGTGCTGGAGGTGCTAGAACCATAAGGAATGGTTCACTATCTGGACTGCGAGTTTTAATGAAATCTGTTGCTAGATTACTCTAAAACAATGTAATTTTAGATTTACAATCCTGAAGGACCATGAACAATATCATGTTACACTTACAATTACATCAGTAAGATATTCAGTTGGTTCATTGCCATATTCCTTTGTAGTACCATTTATAGACAAAGTATAATTATAATATTTTGAATTGCCAATAAGGCCAGCCCACCAATCCCATCCTATTGGTACATGATTTGGACCACCCACAATATGATGTCCATACTTTGGTCATTTTTGCAAATAAATTTCAAATTTCATTTATACATTTAATTACAAAGTTTCACATAATCTTATGTATTTACCTGATTTAGATATTTTCCAGCATAGAAGGTTGTATATGACATTTCCTGTTTTAAATGTGCTGCAAATGTATTTGGTTCTTGAAGTTCTTGCCATTTAATGCTATTGCAACCCCCATGAATTGAATTATTTACTACTAAATGATTATGCTGATATCTCCCAGTTAAAATAGAAGCCCTATTTGGGCAACAAATAGGAGAGGCAACAAACTAGTTTTTAAATAAATTATTATTAATTACATTGAATTATACATGTTTAAGTTATAATAAAGCCAGATTGAAAAAACTTTATTCTTTGCTACTTACACAATTTGAAAATGTTGCACCTCTACTACCAATTAAATCTAACGTATTTGTCATTGGTGTCTGAAATTACACATAATCGTTTTTACATACTACTAATACGTTAATTTTGAACGTTATTTTCTTTTTAATTTCACATTTACCATTCCATCAAGAAACACGTCCAAATCATCTGCGACAATTAATACAATATTCTCGGCACTATACGTCAACGATAGGTAATTTATAAAAATACCAAATAATGGAATAATCATTTTTTCAAACTTTATCGATACCATACACATTAGAAACACAATTTTACTGATAGAAATCAACAGAAATCACCGACGAGGTATACTCGTGCCGAAATAGATATCAAAAGAAATATGCTATTTATTGTGTAGTCTTCTGCTCCAATAGTATTCAATAATAATTGCTGATTGTTGTTGTTTTTTTAATTATTATTTAGTATTGTTAAATACATTCAGTAAGCATTTGTTTATTGCATCATTTGGGACTGTAGACAGACATAGAAATTAGACTGCGCGTCAGCCTGAAACGGTGAAACCCCTGAAACACCTGAAACGGACTTCCCAACTTTAGAAAGAGGTACCTAGATAGTTTTCGAAGAAGTTGGCATCCCATTCTAATATGACTACATAAGTGGCGAGCATTAAAAATGACGTGAACTGCTACTTGTGAATCACTCGTGATTCGATCACGTTCGTTGCCAATCACGGTGATATTTCACAGTGATTCGTGATTTCTCGTGATCGTTTCTGATTGGTGGAGAAACCTAACAGTTCTTTACACGCGACACGTAATCTGTATATTTTATATTAACGACATCAAAACAAAAATTCGAATTACATCGTATAAAGTGAAAGAATAATTAGAAGCAATGAAGAATAATGAATAAATTAATGATTATAAATTATAATCTACATGTTACGATCGCAGTGAGCAATTAACTCAAGATAACAAAATCGCAATCACGGTCGTAAATGAAATTAAATCACGACTTAGTTCACTTTGGACAACTCTTACAACGTTATACTCACAGCTTTCATGTTGACCAAGCATTCGATTTGTAGCTTAAAGAACGTAGATTAATTCCCTGTCATTAACAATAACAATAAACGACCAGAACACTATATAAATTGCATTTAATCGCGGAATACCACTATTTTTTCAACCGGTGGCGCCACCCGTGGCAATTCGCTCAAACTACTAGCCAAATCATACCGATCGGTGAGTGAAAATTCCTAGTGATGGAAAAATGCGAATATCTCAGTAATTAAGTACTTACAACGAACGTCATTAGTCTTAAATTGTTCCTCAGGACTTAATGCATGGATTCAATAGTGCAGAACTCCTAAATTAGTAAAATTAGTTATGCCTGTATTACCGTAGCCCCTTATGGGGCGGCAACCCTACTTGCAACAGATTTCGATTACATTTACACCGCTGAACGGGCATCATTTTTCCTCGTCACGCATTAAATTCGAAGTTTGAACAATGTAGAATAATACTCTCTAACGGCTGGGAACCAATAATTACAAGAACATTGTGAAAATCACAATTATTTGCAACAGTTCACACTGCATCTCGTCATGCGTACCCCGTTTAGTTCACTTTGGACAGCTCTTACACCGTTATACGGATAGCTTTCGTCTAGATAAAGCACACGATTTGTAGCTGAAAGAACGTAGATTAATGCCCTGCCATTAACAATGACAATAAACGATCAGAACACTATAAAAATCGCATTTAATCGCGGAATACCACTATTTTTTCGACCGGTGGCGCCACTTGTGGCAATTCGCTCAAACTACTAGCCAAATCATACCGATCGGTGAGTGAAAATTTCTAGTGATGGAAAAATGCGAATATCTCAGTAAATAGGCGTTTAAAATGAACGCAGTTAGTCTCAAATTACTCCTGATGTCCCAGTGCATCGACTCAATACCGTAGCAACCCATAATTGGAAGAATTATTTCTGTCAACACTGTATATGTACTATCAACACTGGTAGAAATAATTCCTCTAATTATGGGTTCTGCTGCATTCAGTCGACGCACTGAATAGTGGGATATAATTTAAGACTAGCAACGTTATCTTTGAGCGCCTAATTACTGAGATATTCGCATTTTTCCATCACTAGAAATTTTCACTCACCGATCGGTATGATTTGGCTAGTAGTTTGAGCGAATTGCCACAAGTGGCGCCACCGGTCGAAAAAATAGTGGTATTCCGCGATTAAATGCGATTTTTATAGTGTTCTGGTCGTTTATTATTATTGTTAATGGCAGGGCATTAATCTACGTTCTTTCAGCTACAAATCGTGTGCTTTATCTAGACGAAAGCTATCCGTATAACGGTGTAAGAGCTGTCCAAAGTGAACTAAACGGGGTACGCATGACGAGATGCAGTGTGAACTGTTGCAAATAATTGTGATTTTCACAATGTTCTTGTAATTATTGGTTCCCAGCCGTTAGAGAGTATTATTCTACATTGTTCAAACTTCGAATTTAATGCGTGACTATATCTGACTATTGATTATTATAAAACAAATCAGGAGCAATTTTTTGGTGCCATAATATTTATATAAAAAGGCCATATATTACCTATTTTGTATACAACAAGTTTTTGCTTTTTCTTTTGCGAATATCTTATTAACTATAAACAGTGCTGTGGGAGCAATTTCAGATTCGGAAGAAGCAAATTGGGAGCAATTTTTTGAGATATAAATCGTTAAAATACGTTAACATTTGGCGCCAACTATTCTGCGGTCCTGAATTCACTGTTCTCATAATGTAGAGGGCAGCAGAAATCTCTGATTTTTTACACGATCGGTATTTCAGAACAAGAGTTGCAAAGTCCCGTAAGATGTTAGGTCTATTCTATATCTCGTCTGTGGTAAATGTAATATACTGGTGTAGACACTGGTGGACGCTAGCGTCCCACATAATCGGGTCTTAAAAATATAGTGGATGTTAGGTCTATTCTTATGTACCTCGTTTGTGGTGTTATAGTCAAGTACTTAAGGATAGCGTCACTACGGTAGTCAAAGGAAATGTCAAAATTCCAAGAGTAAGCACAATCATATACCTAGTTACACAGCTGGTCGTGTTGGATGAATTTCATTGACCGTCCAAAAATCTGAGTAACGTTTATTTTGGACTCGTCTAGTGAGCGATTCGACACCGTGTCGACTGTACGTATATCGGCGTTGTTGCTCGACGACCGAGAACGGAAGATGTAAATAAAAAAAGTATACGCGACGCAGCGAATTTGGGAAATGATGCCTGAGACCTGAGATGATGCGTTTGACGTATTTGACAGTTGAAATTGCGTAATTGTGGTCAGCGTTTTCTTATGAGACTTTTAACGGAATTTCTGTAAATTTCCGTACAGAATGGCGGACATAGAAGACTTATTTCGTTTAGATCAATTTGTCGGTTCTGAAACTTTAGCGGAACTTTGTTTCAAAGTGATCTGCAAGGATTTGGACATCATCTCAGAGAAAAATGAATTGGGAAAAGAAGTCGCATTACGAAGTCTCTTGACGGGATTGGTCTTGCCAAGCGAGATATGCGACAAACTTATCGAATACGTTCTTCGGAGCGACACGATAGAATTTCATGATGAATTCTTTCACGTGTTCCGGGATACGTCGAGAACCAAACTGAAACGTGTCAAAGTCGTAAGATCTAATATGGCTAATTACTCGGCAAAGATTCTGACTTCCCACAAACTTGTTGAATTAGAACTTACTGATTGCGTTAATGTAACAGAAGCTACTATAGAATATATAAATGCTAATGCAGACAATCTGCAGAGTTTAACATGTCGTGGTATACATTCTTCTCTTATCCCAGCAAGACTTACTGGTAAGGCTACAAAGCAGCCTTTCTTATTAATTGATAACAGATTGTACATTTTACTCTTTAATTTTAATAGTGTAGTATTTGAAAGAATGTACTTACGAATAATATTATTATTATTACAAAGTAATCCAAGTTTCTTTTGTCTTTATAAGGTGTAAGCTTATTGAAACTAACATTTAAACCGATGATTGTTTAATAAGAGAAATAAGCAACATATATTTAAAAGTATATAAAACTGTTATGTACAAACTGTTTCATTTTCAGAATACCAGAAACGGGGATACGTATTCAAAATACCAAACCTAAGAAGTTTGACTTTAGAATATGTCAGAATTCGTACACCGGAGTATAATTTACTATTGGCTGGAATGACAAATTTGACACATCTGGATTTATCTAATAATTTCCATATAGGCAACTTTGAATTTTTTAGCTCAGTTCCCAATTTAATATCTTTAGTTTTACACAATGTCAAGATTAATTTTCAAGTTCCAGCTTTTCTTGACAATCTTTGTTGCTTGAAGAATTTAAGGTACGCAATGATCTTTAAATTCATTTTTATTACAGTATGAAAGGTTGCGTAATATTTGAAATGGAATATCTAATATTGTACAATTTGTAACTAGGCATTTGGATATTTCACAATTCAACCATGGACATGGAGTATTTGGACATCCTAATATAATCCTATCTGACATAGTGAAGGGCTTACCACACCTAACTTCTTTGGATATTAGTGGTACCAACTTAGCAGGAGTACAAGTAGGAGACAATGGAAGACAAGGAAAAACGCTCAAACGACCTTGTTTCCATGACGCTGATTGCGCGAATACCAGTGAACATTGTGATATACCAGGTCTTGCTTCTAGAGTAGACAGACCTTTACAGTTCTTAGGGCTTTATGGGACAGAATATGAAGCATGTAGAAGACGTAATATTCCAGCTAAATTGGTAAACGATTGTAAAATTTTTATGTAATGTTTATACTTGTTCCCTTTTATGGTTTTAAGTAAACTTGGTTTTTCAATATCAGATAGCAGGAGATGCAAACGAAGACCAAATACTGGTAGCAGCCCATGTTTGCATGAATAGTAAACCTGGTTTCTTACAAAAAATACTGAATGATCTTTATCATGTGTACAGATATGAGAATTTTCACAGAATGGATCAAGCTCTTTGTGCAATATTAGAGGCAATGGAGAAACACCCACTACACAAATATGTGCAAATAGCTGGAAGGTAATTAATCATAAATTGCATAATAATGTGCATACTGAAACATATGTATTTCATGAAAATTAATAAAAATTATATCTTTTCTACAGTGCAACACTGTTTTATGTTGTAAAAATGAAAGAAAAGGGAGAAATAGAACCACGGCTCAAAGAAAGAATTATTCGCACTCTTCTCACTGGAATGAGCAATTTCAAAGATGAAGAAACAATGATGCGCAATGGTTGTCTAACGCTAAATCAATTTCGTATACCACAGGACGTTGTACGTAATAATTATCTGAAATAATAATTCTAATTCCTATTACAATATATTCTTTTTTTTTCATGTTACTTACACTTCGAAAGATGTCAAATTATGAAGCATTGGTAAAACTGCTTTTATATTCAGCCAAGCATGCGGAGCAGGAAGGTTACGTTCAGCGTATTGGAATATTTCTTTTGAATAGTTTAGCATGTCAAGTAACAGGCAGGGAGAAACGTTTATTAGGCAATCTCGGTTGTATCAAGACAATGCTTGAATTAATCGAATATAGAGTTGAATTTGATATATTCGACGATGTTCTAGAGGTAGCATGGTCAACTATGTGGAATATGACCGATGAGACTCCCATAAATTGTGAACGATTCTTTGATGAAAATGGCATGGAGTTTTTCCATAAGTGTGTCAAGGTATGTAACATCGAAGTTTGAATGATATTAACGCATAAAGGAATACTAAATGTTTAGAAACAAAGTTTGCACAGAAATATCGCCACAAGGAAGAATTATTGAAGAATATGATGGGTTTATTGGGTAACGTAGCTGAGGTACAACATCTGAGAGCACATCTGGTACAACAACAATACATTAAACTTTTTGCAAACTTATTACATTCTGACAGTGAGGGTATCGAGGTATTTTACTTTGTATAGAATTGATTAAATTCGTATTTATATAGTACCTATTATTATAATTCTTCTGTGCTTAGATACCTTATAATGCTGCTGGTATATTAGCTCACATAGCATCCGATGGCGTTGAAGCATGGACGGTGAAAAGACCAAGTCGAAATGAAGTGCTGGAGCTTATGGTTAAAGCCAGTGAACAGTGGGATATGTTTTCTGAGCGTAATATCAATTATCGCTCATTTTTACCTTTACTGCGTTTGTTAGATGTGTATCATACACCACAATGCCAGCATTGGGCAGTTTGGGCTCTTGCTAATCTTACAACTGTTTATCGTAAGTACATGAAACTTAATTTTATTCTAATGATCTTCGTCTGAACAGAAATGTAACTGTCTTAAATATTTTTTACTGAAACTATATTTTCTTGCAGCTCATAAGTATTGCATACTGGTTATAGAAGAAGGAGGCATTGAGAAATTAAATACTTTAATGTCCGATCCAAGACCATATGAGCGTATTAAAGCACTTGCACACTTTGTAGTTGTGAATTGCTGTCATTACAGTAGCAATTCAGTAGTACTTTAAACAGAGAATATGGTTCATCGAAAATAATTTTCATTATTATAATTGATACGTAACATTTTTAGAAGTAAAATATTTCGTATTTCTACTTCTAGGCACAGAAGTGTGAGTAAGATTATAACGACGTAACATGGAAATATTTGTATGATCACTTATTAAGATGTACATTGGAAATTGAATGAACGTTCAAACAATTTTACTCGTACTGTTATTATATGAGCATTACGTTGCATAGTTTATTTATTACATGTTATAGTATACTTCTGGAAAATGCGCGAAAAAATATATTACTGTATTCTTACTTATTAGGTCGACACAAAATATTTTTGATATTTATTACCAATCTTTATAAATACTATTCAAATTGAAACATGTTCTCGGTTTATGTAAATAGTTACCTTGTATTATAAACAAGAAAAAAAGCTAGACTAATATAGCTATAGTTATATTCTTCTGTTTTAAAAGCCAATAATGAACTGTTTGTCGTTTTAAGCTTATGTTAAGTTTCATATGTCCTGTGTGGATTTCTTTGTAGATATGTACATCATAAGTCACTTTTTCAATTGCCATTATGTCTTATTGTTTGGAAAACCTTCGAATAGGAAAATACATTAGGCTACTATATATGTAAATAGAAGTAAGGATAATGATGCAAAATTAATTAGATTTCTGTATTTGTACATCTACACTATTACAGTCGAAATTCTTTCAGATAGTAACACTATTCTCAACCACAATTAAGTGATGAAACAAATATTATATGCGGTTTTATGATAAATTTACAGATTTCAGTTATAGATTTGAATAACTTTAACAGAAACATTATGCAAATTGTCATCTAATCTAATTGATTGTTACCATAATCGTTATGTAATATTAACGTACGTGTGTAATGAATTTGCAAAAAATTCCTGATATGTTTAATGTACCACATATAATTATATAAGACTGAATTGCAGTTTTCATTTTTTATCCCTCACAAACCTATCTAAACAATACTATACATTTAAAAGCAGAAAGTAATTGATATGATAATTATATTCAATATTCTCACAATATTACAAAAAGTCTGATATTTTGATCTATAATGTAATAATAAGAAAATATAGGTATTTTCTTCTTAATAAAAATGGGAACAAATTTATGTTTGAATAGGTATTACATCAATTGAAAGCTTTAAATGACGATCGATTCAGGATACATGACATGGTTCAAGTTCGATAGATCTACATCATAAAAAAAAACAAATCTTTTTTAAATATTAAATACATACTACATAAAATTAATTTATGAATAATTATTAATTTGTTGCTTTCTAGTTATACGAAATGAGTAAGTCATCGTACTATTAAAACATGATGGTAAGGGACGATAACAGCGACTTCCGGTTCTATTCCTTCATTCCCGGCGATCGAAGATCTCGGAAGAAGAGTGACGCCACAGCCCAAGGGAAAGACGACATTTTACCTGATTCGCGCGTCCACGGCATGTGTAAGGAGATTCATGTGAAATACATGAATCTTATTGTACAAATTTCACACGGTAGCGTCTCGTAACAGAAAAATTCACGTGTTTTCGTCAGGTAAGTTTCGTACGGCTACAAGCACATGATTTTCCCGATAAATGGTTATTTCGAAATTTTTGCAGAGTGGGATCATTCATCATACGAAAAACAGAATAACGTTATTGATTTTCGTAATAGAAATACAGATAGTTTTGTTTAATAAGCTATATATTTCAATGTAGAAACATGTGTAACATGTCTTCTCGTAAATTGAAATATTTATGGTACATGATTGCACGCCGGATAGTGCGCATAGAGTTCTGTAATTGCAAGCAACAATGAAGAAAATTTAATATACATCCCATTTACCTTCGTATTAACATTAATCGAAACTTTTATATTTTACGACGCAAATAACCATTAAAGCGATTATCATTTCTAAAAAGCTAATGCTAATTGTGAACCTCAGAATATAAGTTCAGCAGAAGTTCTACTCTTAGCAAAAATTTTACCTATGTAACCGATAAAATCATATGATTATTGAACAAATAATAATAGTTTTCTAAGAGATAGTCTGAGTTTGTTTAATTATTGAAAACTCTTGGCAATGAAATTGTTCAGTACATCATGTTTGATCACCTTTAATCAATATATATAAATTATTTGTTACAATACATAAATATTCCTGTTTTGTCCATAGACCTTTGACACCATATCTGACATCTATAAGTCATCTGTAATTCATAATTATGAGTTACAGCTACATTAAATCAAGGTTGGTAACAATAGAAACCATACTTGTAGATTATAAACTATCAAGACGTTGGATTTTTATCTTTAAATTTATATACTATAGATTTGTTTCATATGTATAATAAATTAGACTAATTCCAAATTTAGGAATATGTATATATATATGTATAAGGTTTTTGGTGACAACGTAAATTTGGTGAACAAATAATCACTTACAAGATTAATTTTTCAAAATTGTGTACCTATAGGTGTTAAGAAATATCTTAATCATATAATTACACCTTCAGAGGATATATTTTCCTAGATCTTTTTCATGTAAAATGTCATTTTTTTAAAGAGCAAACTTAATAAACTCTGGCTCTGGGGTCCAAGTATATTTATTTTGTACAAGAAAAGAAAGGACTAATATTGGCATATGAAATGGTTAACACTAATTATTAAGGAACTATATACGATAAAATGTGTATCATTTTTTCAGCTCAAGTATGAGCTCCCGTGGCCGTGGATTTAGTTCCCGCGGAGGCAGTTCTTACAGAGGAAGAGGTGGTGGTGGAAATGAATGGAACAGTTCACCAGGAGGAAACATGTCTAGTAGAGGAGGTTATTCTTCTTCTAGAGGTGGAAGATTTAAATATTCAACAACCAGTTATGACTCTCGGTCAAAATACAATTCTGGTTAGTTTAGACTTTGGGTTTGAAAGTTAAATACATCAATAAATTTGCATAAATCATTGATTCATAACAAATAAATGTATTCGCTAAGATTCGTGTTTGTATGTATAATAGGAGGATCTGAGAGATACTCCAGTAGAGGAGGAAGAGGTGAACATTCGAACAGTTATAAAAGGCCAAGGGTATGTATATAAATAAATTATTATTAATGAATCAATTGTTTAATGTTGTAGAGGTATTTTCTATCTATATAAAATTGCTGACTCACCTCGTATATAAAATATTTTTTAGGATTCTTACTCTGGAAGGGATGAACACAGATCATCCAGTGATTCAACCCGTAAAAGGATGAGAAGTGATTCCTACCAGGTATGTATGTTATAAGATAAATGCAGAGACTTTATTGTTACAAGACAGATCTTGAATGAGTATTAGTCTATTTTGTTCGAATCTCCTGCAGTGCTGTGGTCAAGGACTATTTTTCCATCTTGAAAGTCCTGCTTCACAAAGAATTTTTCAATGAATGTAGTATGAACGATGGTCCTGAAAGATTTTCATTGAGAAGGAATAAGCACTAATTTGGAATATTATGTTCCATATGAAAAGCATTTTCAGGACACTCGTCTATGCATTTTTTTTTCCTTAAATTCACAAAAGTAGTAGGCAAGGCATTCATAAGTCGTCATACTTTCCTTTCAAGCGACGAGCCAACGGCTACTTGAACACCCATTCTTTTTGCGTTGGGACACTACTGGTGGAACACTGCGAAAACATCACATAATTAAAAGATGAAATACACCTAGATGGTATTTATATTATTCCCTGCACATAGTTGCATTAAATATTGAGAGCAACCTGCAAAGTATCAGAACGAACAGATGGATAGATATATACATACATATATATATGTATAGATAAATATGAATTTTAAGATGCTGACATAACATCTGTATTGTTCTTTCTGTAAAACAATGTGTGCAACTGAACCAGTTTCCTGCACAATACAGAACAATCATTGAGATGTTGACAGCATCGCTGCATTGCCGCAACCGCACAAATTTCTAACAAAACACTACTTCATGCAGTTTTCCAAATTACATCAGTTCGAACTGTTTCATTGGGATGAAATAAATTGTCAGTAACATCAGCGTAATCATAGACCTTTCCAATATAAAAAACACGTATCCTACGTTACGTTCTGTTAACAATGACTGAGAGAAATCGGACATTTTTTATGTACACATATAACTCTACCGTGGTACCTGCAGGTAGACTTTGAAACTAGAATACATGCTGAAAAGCTTTGCACGAGCAATGGAGGTATACAAAGTATTTTTCCATCATGTATCTTGTCCTTAAAGACATACTGTGCAAGGATATATAATTAGAACTGCAATTTTATTAGTTTTATTCGATTTTGTGGTCCGTGTGAGATGTATAGAGCATTGTATGAAAAAGTGGTTTACAAATAAAAGTATATAAAAACGCATCTGTCCTTGTACCATCAAAATTGGAAAGGTCTATCAGCAATTAATCCAGAATCATGCAGAATTTAATTCATTCGATATCTTCAAGGGAATGAAAATGCTGATCATAGCTACAGTTCAGAAATCATGTCAAGCCAGTGAAAATGGCAAAGATGCTATTAATATTTTTTGAAAAGTAAAGATCATTTTTACATAAGTGAAGTATAGAAAAAAAAAGCGGTACTTATATTTGAAACACGAGAGACAAAACGTAACTTAGGTGCTCTTCAAGATTTTGTACTAGACGATTGGCACTGTAATGAGAGGTAAATAAGGGAGTGCAAAAGAATGGCCAGAGTGGAATTAAAGAATAAATAAAAAGTAATAAAGTGTATGGAGGATATATGATAGGAGGGAACAATGGGGAGAAATGTATCTAGAGTAACAAAAAAAGAGAGAGAGATAGAGAGAGAGAAGGGCAGGAAAAGAGAAAGATGCATTGGGAAGGAGCACAACTGAATTTGATTTGGCAGGGTGGAGGTAGCGGTAGCGGCTCACAGAGGTATTCTTCGTCGTATGGTGGTTCGTCTGCGTCAACACCTTATGACGATAATAAGGGATCGTCATCCTCGGCCGTGTATGAGGACAAGAGACAGAGTGAGCGAGCCTCGTCATACCACCGCTCAGAGGATCGTCATTCGGCATCACGGAGCTATGCACCTCCACCACCCCCTCGGATTAGCGATATGGCACCTCCGACACAGAGATATAACTCGAGCCGAGGGCGAATATCGCATCAAAGCTCAAACTATCGAGGTCGCATTTCAACACGCGGCAGCGGTAGAGGGGGTGGATTCCATCGCATGAGCTCTCGATCGGACGTCGTCATGGCTCGCAAGCGTACTCTGCACTCGCTCGACTATCGACGCAAGCTGCTAGGATCGCGATCGCGAGACTACATCCAGCGTGTGCGCATGACCACTACCAAAATGCGCAGGAGGTAATTAATTAATAAATCACTTACCAACTGCAATACCGTCCTAGTAGCCTGCTTGCTTATTTGTCAGTAAACGAACTGACTATAATCCGACTATATGACATGAGTGTCGAAAGACGAATGATAGACATAAAAAAAAATGGTAACAGAAAACATATATATATATATACATAAAAATAATAATAATAATAATAAAACATGACACAAATGATCGCACGAAATACCAAATATGTATTCTACTGTCGAGAGGCAAACTTTTCGCAGGGTTCTAAATAAAGAGGGAATTGATATTCTGATACACATAGATACCAATGTGTGTGTGTATCAATTGAAACACAATGTAATTACTTTTGATATGAGAACTACTATAATACTTGTACTTTACGAGATCATTACGTTTGTCATTCTTACACATAGCGGTGACTAAAAATAAAAATGAGTATATAAGAACGTTGTTTCTTAGATGTATTTTAAAATACGCGAAAATGCGAATGACATATAAATAAGAGCACAATATAAATGCGATGCAAAAAGGCTGCATAGTTCAAGACCTTTATTGCAATACGAAATGCATTCATTCATATGTATGGGGGATAAAAGAAACAAACTAAATAACATATCGCGATATTTACCGTATGTCGACTAAGAGAAAAAAAAAAGGTTTTGGTTGATGATATAATGAAAGACAAAGGAACCAGAACAAGATGAAGGGAAATAATGTAAGTCAAAACAAAATTGCTGTGTCATTAGTAGCGGTACTACTAGGCTATCCGGAAGTAAAAAGGAGTCAGGATCAGGAACCAGCATGAAGGACAAGGATAGAGAGATGACCAAAGCTATTAACGCTGAATTTTCCGATGACGACGAAGAGGATGATGATAATAAAAGTAATTGGGACGACGACGAAAAGGTAACTCCGTAAGACTGCTATAAGTACTTTTTCCCCTATTACGTCTAACCTGACACGTGCTATCGATAGCAATACTGACTATAATATTTAACGACGTTAATTCAGCCGCATGATCGTGATGATGAGGAAGAAGAAGAGGAGGAAGAGAAAAAGAAAAAAGATGACAAGCGAAAGAAAGAGAAGCAGGAACGAGAAAGACAGAATACTGAAGATGAAGAAGAAAAGGAAGATGATGTGAAAGAAGATGATGATGATCACAAACATGAGGTATGTCTGTCACTGGGATATTAAATATAACACCGTTAATTATGGGTATTCATAGTAATTAGTGTGGTAGGATGTAGTAATTACTATACAGGGTGTAACAAAAATGTTGCAGGTCCTTGATCTGGAACACTCGTAAGACGATGTGGAACAAGATTTTCCTTGGCAAAAATGTTATCCGAGACTTTCTTAGCGAGATATTAACGAAAAACACCGACCAATAAAGAGTGTGAGTCTGCCGACCGAGTTCCCGCGGTAACGTTGGCTACACGGCTGCGATTGGTAGCCTCTGATTGGTCAGGATTTTTCGTTAATATCTCATTAACAAAGCCTCGGATAACATTTTTGCTAAGAAAAAACTTGTTCCAAATCGCCTCACGAGTGACCCATTTCAGGGACCTTCAACATTTTTGTTACACCCTGTATAAATATAGTAATTATGAATGATTGTTGCATTGCCTTAAATGTTTTCATTGCCTATGTCTCTAGGACGATGAAGACGATGTCGATGATGAGGAGAGGGATGATAATGATAAAACAGATCACGGTCGAACTACTGGCTCTGAAGAATTGCCCAGTAGAAGAGATGGGAGAAAATTCATTAAACTAACTTGTCCACATTGCGCCCACCGTAGTGTTACTTTCAAAGAGTACTCGTTGCATTTATACTCAGGTCGTCACAGTGCAGCCATGAGGCGAATTGCATCACGGCATAAGGCAACTTTGACGCGTATGCGGGTATTGCAACGACAAGAGCAACGACGTGTTGAAACTCGTGATGCAGTGCGTGGTACTTTACCATCCCGTACCATGTTCTGTCCTATTTGCAAACTGAATTACCGATCCTTGAAAGCAGTACATCAACTATCAGAATCCCATCGTCAAATGAAGCGGTTCCTCACGCCATTCTGCAGAGTCTGTCGCATTCAGTTCCGATCACCCATGCTCTTCGAAACTCACATGTGTTCTTTGGATCACATCAAGGTATCATTTCTGTAACCATATGTGTATATATAATTTCTTACCTCGTCAGTGCATTTTGTACGTATTATTTCTCAGAGGAAGAGTGCATTGAAAGAAAGAATGAATGCTGGAAATGGTGATGCAGAAGCAGATTCCAGTGGCCCCGAAGAAGATGACAAGGAAGTTAATCTTGATAATTTCATGACTTTAGATTCCGTAGGTGATGTTGATGGTAAGTAATCAAATGTTACGGTACTTTTCGAAAATTTTAAATCCTTGCAACTGATTTTAAATGATTAGCGGGTTAAAGTTGGATTATTCACTTCGTCTTAATGAGAATTTCTCTTATATAGAAATCACTGCACAATCTTATTCTTTATAAATATTACAACTCAGTGTGTAAGTTAAATCGAAGTATTGCACAAACGTAACTTCTAGCAGAAGAAGATGAAGAGTCTCCCGAAAAGAAAAAGGAAAAACCAGAAAACGAGGGTACAAGCGAGACAGAAAAGAAACCCAAAAGTAAACAAATGATCAAAGTTGGGGCAGAATACATAAAACGCGTTGAGGTTCAATTTTGTGAACTGTGCAAGGTATATCTGCCACGCAGTGAAAACAGCGAGAGAGCGATAGCGCTTCATTGCTCAACTAGAAGTCACCTTAAACGGTACATATTAAGAGCTTATAATTTCAAAAGTTATTTCGAGCCGAAACAGATACTGATGTAAATTATTTTATACAGGTATGTACGTGATAATGATGATAAAGCACTACGAAGACAAGCGGAAAGGATACATTTGCAATCATCGTCATCTGTTAATACTTCTTCCACGCCAAACACTGTAAAAACTACAGAATGCACTAAATCACCAAGTAGCTCTGAACCACCATCTGCAAATAATACATTAACAACTACTACATCTGACATTACTATTATTACGGAACCTGGTAAAACAGTTGAACAGAAGGGAATCGTTCCTGAACCCGAGAAGAATATGAAGGATAACAAAAATGGACAGGCTGAGGAAGAAGACGATGATGATTATCCAGGCGATAATGCTGATAAATTATGGGATGTCGATAAAGATTTGGTCGACATTTTAAGGGAAACTGAAGCAGGAGCTAAATCAAGTGACGATGAAGATTCGCGTTACGATCGTTTTCGTAATTCAGATAAGAAACAGCCGCATTCTGGGAAAGATAAAGAAAGGGACAGCGAGAAAAACGAAATAGACGAAAAGGAAATCATAAAAAAGCAAGAAGTGAAAGTAAAACTTGAAAAAGTAGACATGTAAAGTTCAAGAATTATTAGTACGTTTCAATCATATCCAGATACATGCTTTTATTGTTTTTTCACAACCCTGTGCGAAATTTTACAAATGCTAGCCATAGAGAACTTGTATGATTATCGTTTTATACAGCAGAATTATTTTTTATGAAATTACGTAATTATTTTCAATCATATTAACAAAAGAAGATATGTACAGTAATATGTTCCGTTTTCAACGAATTTATTGTAGATATAAATCAATTTATTCATAAAGAATCTTAAATTGAATTATAATTTAAGTAAATCATTACTATAATTTCATTTATAAAGTTGTAGAAAGTTAAGCAACTTTATTGTAGACTGTCAAGTTTTCAGATTTTATGTTCACGAAATATTGGACATGTTTGAAATGTACAATTGATACTACAAACTTCACAATGTTCAATTCCTTTGTAATTCAAAACGTCACTACTTCAGCATATTTCGTGACACTAATGTTAACATAAACTGTAAAGGAAATTATTCATATAAGCGTCTTAAGTATAGTTTTAAAAGTAGCGATTATTTGTGCATCACAAAACTATTTGGTGGAAATCTTTAAAGAAAAATAAGTGTCGATTTCTAATTCTTAATGTAAATGGACATATAATAAATTCGCTAACTTATCACGTATAGATACTTATAATAAATACTATTATATAAATCTCAGTGTTTAATTATATCTTCTATATCTGTCCACTCTAATCGAACAACATGAAATTCTTTGGTAGCAAGTTGGCACGGATTATGGTTTAATTTTTACAGAAAAATAAAAAATACTTACGATATATTTTTTACTTTATTCCCTTTTACGTGTAGTTTTAACGCCTTGCTTCGTGTAGATAAGATTGAAACTAACAATTAGAACAAGTTTTATCACAGAATAAAGTTTGAAGTATGTATGAATGCATGTGCAAGAAAATATTGTGCATATAAAGTTGTAGGTAGAAGGTTCATCACTGTAAAGTTTTTGTAACGTATTTAGGCACATGACACATACATAGATTAATTTCATTTGTTTTCGCAAGATGGCTGACATTAAGGGCTTTTTAGAGATGTATCATTTTTTTGTATGATAGACTTATGCAAAGCTCTACAATATAAATACGTTAATTGTATTATTATATTAGATAATATGGAAAAGAAAAGCGCAATGTGACACTTATAGTACAAATTACAAATAGATTCTTTATATTGTATTGCTTTCTTATATTTAGTTAATACATTTTATACACTTTTGCTATTTCTGCATCCTTAACCTTGGTTTTTGTCACAAAATAATCGTTCGCATTCATCTAATGGCAAATATACATTCAATGTTGTCAATAGGACAATATCATGATATATGTACGGAAGTTGTTACTAATGATTGTTCAAATGTAGCTGTTTCTAATATTGGAAATAATTGTAATGAATCAGAACCATTAGAAGATTTACAATGTTTTGTGTGTGATGCAAAAATTCAAGGACGTCATTATGCATTGGCCACGTGTAGAACACAGACATCAAGATCTAAAGTAATAGAAAAGCTTGGAGAATTAGTTGGTGAAAGGTATCATGTTATGTTTCTACATGTAGTTAAATAATTGGATGTAATATTAGGTATTTATCTAAATGCTTTACAGTCATTATCTTTTTCATGTTACACAGATACATGGTAGTAATATCAGAAGATGATGTAATTTGTCGAAGTTGCGCCAATCGTATTAATACACTTGATAGACTTGAAGTTGAGATGATTAATTTACGTGATAATGTCTTGCGATTTTTGGAGCAAAAGTATTCCTTGGAAGAAGGAGAGCTTCTTGGCAGTAACGAAAAGCAAAAACGTTCACAGCCACCACAAATTACAAAGTGTAGCAATCAAACTGTGACTAGTTACCAGAGCAAAAAAAGAGACATTGCTTTGCCTTTTGATGTTACTGAAAAAATAAAAAATAAGAGAAATAATATTTGGTTACAATGCGATAAGTGCCAATATACCACCCTTCATAATTCATTCATGGTACACCATGTTAGAGACCACAGAAAACAGAAATTATTCTGTGACAAGTGTGGCATAGAATTTTTTGGAAGTCAGCAAGACTCCCATAATTGTAATCTGAAAGAACATTTAACTGAACAAAATAGGAATCAAAATGAACAATTAGGTTTTTATAAATTATAACTGTCATACTTTCAGAAATTACAATTTTATTAACTTTTTGAAATATGTTAAATGTTTTACAGAATCATCTATGAACAATATTACTCAAACAATGAACATTCCAATTTTGGACAAAACAATGCAACAGAATGTACCAATCATGACCATTAATACATATTCAGAACCACAAATCTCAAATCATAATGAAAATATACCTATAATAAGATTATCAAACTCGGAAAACATACCAATACAAAACATTTTAACTTCTGGTAAGGATTTTAGTATCTACAGTACCATTTCAATAAAAAAATAATTTCTGCTATCAATATATTTTTAATTGTAGACAATACTGCAAGCAGTCAGCCAATATATGTACGTGTTTTGCAACCAGTTGAAATTAACGAAGCACCAACACATTCTACAATGGTGGGTGTATCAAAGTCTGATTCAGATCTATCAATAAAACAGTTCAAAGACAGCTCAGGAAAGCAAATTTTGACATTAACGGAAGATGGGAATTTGGAAATGACAGAAGTACCATGCTGGAATAATATGCAGTCATCTGAATCACAATCCAATATGACATATCAATGATATAAAGTTACATTATTATATTAAACACAACTTTTATTTAATTATTTTTATTAATGCAACAAGTAACAGTTACTTACAATTTACAAATACATACAACATGTATAGTTTTTAGTTTAAACAATGCTTGTACCAGTCTTCAGCACATTACCCGTCTATTTGTTTTGTTTCTTTAATTAAAATTATAATGCTAAAACCTGGTACTGCTTATTCCTTAAGTAAAAATTGTTTTTATTTAATTGTTCAATGGTTTTTCGTTCGTGATGTCCCTGTTCCATTGTAGAAAACATGGGGTATACAGCTGCTGTTTACTGCAAACTCAACCGAAGAATGGCAAGCCATCAATGACTTTTGAAACATCACCTAAAACAAGAAATTGTTAAAATTCAGCTGAATAATTTCTATGTCGAAAGTTCAGTTATTTCGCTTCCGGAAGAATGAACTTCCGTTGGAGCTGATTATAAAATTTACTTGCAACATGCATTGCTATTTATTGTAGTGTTATGTTTCTATTACCTATGATGCCGCCGATAGTGTCTGCTATACCTTTACCAACATCGTCGGCCGTATTCTCAGCAGCCTCTATGCCTTTCTGAACATCCGTAGCTACGTCTTTAGCAACACCCGCAGCCGCGTCTGCGGCTGTTTTTACACCGTTCTCAACACCGTCAACCACTTTCGAGGTAGTGTCATTTAGTCCATCCAAAGTTTTTTGTACACCTTGATTAAGTCCGCTGATCGTGTTGTTTACAACGTTCGAAACGTCGTTGACGACGTTACCGACGATATCTTGAGCATGTTCAACTATGTTATGGACACCGTCCACGACACCGCCGACAACGTTATGGAGGGTGTTCCCGGCATTCTTTAAAAATTTACCAGCGTCGCCTGCCAGACCGCTACCAATATGTTCGGCATCAGATACTACATTGGAGACCACTTTCACGGCATTCTTCAAAGCGCCCTGTGTCATATTGTGCGCGCCTTCCAAAGCGTTGTGGGCACCGTTTTCAAGGTTTTGTACTGCATTGTGGATAACTTGTTGGACGAAGTTAACTGCCTTGCCAGCATTGTCTTTCAAGTTTGACACTGTCTTGCCAAGTAGGTTGGCGGTACCATTTTCCATTTTCTTGAAAGTCTTTTGAGCATCATCGAAGGCATTCTTGGAGTTATTCAAAATGTTATGGATTCCAGTCGTTGTGAAGTTCTGTAAGCCTTCCACGATGTCGGAAGCATCATGTATGACATCCTGAAGACCCTTGTGCAAATTGTTCTCCAAGGTACCCAAAACGGTACCAATATTCTTGGCAATATCTTCTACCTGTTTCAGTATACCAGCTCCGATATCTCCGGCCACGGACAACATTTTTTCAGCATTGTGTATAAAATCGTTCAGTTTTTCTTGGGCGTCCTTCGCCAGATCAGACACCAGTTGGGAGACATCGTCCTGGGCTTCTTTCACTTTAGCTTCAATCGCTAGCGTCACATTTTTGAAGAATTGGACACCCTGTTGCACGATCTCACCGATCTGCTTTTGGACATCGATAATGATTTTCGCTATTGTTTTTACGATGTTTCCTATCGTCTCTGCGATAATCTGTTGGATATCGGCTATACCATCAATAATTCCCTTTATGATATCCGCAATTTCCGTTGCGATAGATTTGTTAATGTTATTCACAATGCTAATGATGTGTTTGTTGATGGTGGTTAGCTCGCTTACAATGTCATGTACAACAGACTGAATTTCTTTTTGGATCTCTTCAGCTTCACCTGCCGCGTCATGGACAAGTTTGTTGATGTCCTTTTGGAGGTTGCCTATTATGCTATTTACGACATTCATCCCCGAACCGACAACTTTTCCAATGTCCTGTGGGACATTCTTCAGTTTTCCTGAGAGGAGATCTCCGATAGTATTTAAAATTTCGCCGGTTTGATTCTGTACTTTGCTCACGGTATCTTTCACGCCAGACAAGATCATAACAGCGTCCCCCTTTCCAGTATGCACCACGTTTGCAACATTTTCTGCAGCAGCATCCATTGCATTCGCTGCTTTCTGTTTCGCATCTTCGAAAGTCTGAGCGGTGTCGTTTGCCACCTCAGCCATCAAATTTCCCAAATTTTTCCCAGCTTTAGTCACGTCAGCAATAGCTTGTTTCAGGAGAGTACTCATTTTTTTGCCGATGTCTCCCACGATTTTACCGGATCTGCCATTTTCAGCGACAAGATCTTTGTTGACGGTACCAACGAGCGAATGCAATCCGTTCACAACATTGCCTATTCCTTTCTGAGCGAGTTTCGCAGCATTGCCCAAGGCTCCAGCGGTTTGGTTTTGGATTTTCTGGACAATATTTCCCAGCTGCTTAGCGCCGTGACGAATAAGAGTCTGGGTCTGGTTTTGGATGTCCTGAACCTGACCCTGCACGTCGTGCATGATTTTTCCAGATGCCCGGGCAACATCCTTCATCCCTGTCTGGACTGATTGTTCGGCGGATCCAATGAGTTTCTGTAAGCCTCCAACAACATCGGACGCCGTGTTCGAAAGGTCAGCTAAAATATCGGGCTTGCCAGAGGATTTCTAATGAAAATTAAATAAATATCGTTATAATAACGTAGAGATATAATGTAACAGAAATTTTAGTTATTCTTTAACTCAAATTAGTATTTGCATGCAAATTTTTGCTAATCGAAAGAATTTCACCTTCTTACAATAATTCCAGTTCAATGTTTCCGAATTAATTATATACATGTGTAAAAATATCAATCTATACTTACAGGATTAGCAGCAGCGGATCCATCCTGAGCAAGTGGCAAGGCCTGTTAAGGGCAAATTAATTAAAATTGTAAATATTAAATCGTTGAATATTACTCTGGAATTAAAACGTAATTCTTTCATTTGCGATCTAAAAGAATAATAAGTATACTAATGAAAAACTAGAAATTAAGTAGTACGTGGAGTGTCATGTAATTTGTTGCAAAAGGATTTAACTGTATTACAAAATACAGTATTATGACGATTATAAACTCCTATGTCAACAGTGAAAAGTTATAAATTCAAATGTCCAGGAAGTGAACGTGTCGCCATGACGTATTCAAACTGAAGCAGCCATCTTTCGTTTTACTTGAAATATTTTCTATAAATAGAACACATACATTTTCGAAGAACACAAATAAAGAAACTTTCACAAAATCAGACGGAAAGCATTTATATGGGAAAAAGTGTTACACGATAATTACAAAATAAAAGATATTGTATAATATAGGGTGTAACTTACCAGAACACTAGCCACGCCGAGGAAGGCGAAGATTGGTAAGAAGCGGAAGATCATTTTTGGCTTGGGCTTGCTAAGACCAACTGTAGACGAATATTCGGAAATGTATGCTGTAATTCGGATTGATCGGTACTTATATATGGGCTTCTGACATTACGAGTAACAATTGTGTCAACAAAAAGCGGACTTGCGTTACTATATGGAAGCGGGAAGAGTGTTTGAATAGCATCTCCGTCATAACATTTGTTCATTATTGCAATATGTAAAGTAGCTTGTTATCTAATTCAAATAACTCGGTAAATTTCCCTTATGTGGAAAATCATAGAAAATCTTTGTAGTTCAATAAAAAAAGTGTCAATGATTTTTATTAAACATTGTTGATTCAATTGTGGCATCTTTTTCTTTTTTATTAAGATTAAGTAATATAAATCATACGATATGGCTTAATTTAAACGTTTTTTTAATGTTTTAATAAACATTTTGAAATTGTTGCCATTTACAATTAATTGGTAAAAAGTTAAAGGAAAACAGTACATTTTGAGAGACAAATCTATGAACGATAACGCGGAGTGTTTTCTCGAAAATTAACGGACAAAAACATAATTTTATTGCGAATGTAATGAAGTTGTGAATTTCTCGATAAATTTCACTTTTCAAAACGAATAGTTAATTCTTGCATGTTTTTAATAAAGTTGCAAATGGAGGAATAGGATCAACAAATTTTTACAAATTTTTACAAGTTCCGGTATATAACATATTTGTGTATTACATATTGATATGATTTGTATTCAAAAAGTACACTAGCAACTCTTCACCGAACCTAAGGGCAAGTCTGGTCCATGGAGCAAGTCCTGTTACAGAAAGTCTAGTGTTTTAATTTCAATAAGAAATTGTCTGTTAGTAATATTTCTTTACTGAGTTGGTAATACTGAGCTTTCAAATCTTAAATGGCATCTTAGTAAACACCAGTAAACACTGTTCGTTAAAGCCGTTACAGTTTCGTGAGGAAGAAGGAAGGTACTGTTTGGCATCCTTGTAGAAATGATACGGTAACAATGGAAGAATTCCATTGCGATATTGCACACATTCTTCAAAACAGGGACTTTACTGTGTTGCAAAAGTTGTTGTCGCATTCTAATAATTTTCGTGCAAAAATTAGCGCCAAAATAGAAGATACAATCACTCATGAAATTGGTACGTTTACAAAGTAAACTGTAATCTAAGGATTCGGCGATGTATTGAATTATAATCTGAAACGCGTGTTCACGCAATGACTGATATTAATTAATTCATGGAAGTTTTCCTATCAGAAACGAACCAGCTGAGTGATTATCAAAGAGTAAACGTCATTTGCGTGTATACATCTCATTGACGTCTTCCGATTGAACAGAAAAGCAGTTTTTCTAAAAAATTGTTGTACCATTAAGTTTTCTTAGAACAAGTGTGTTTAATGTTTTTTACACGATACCCATATAAATTTCACATATGGTTTTCATGTTCTACAATACAGTATTCAATACTACAAACAGATTTTTTTTGTAAAATAATTTGTATATAAATAAGGAGAGTATCTTACTTTTTTTTAGAGTGTAAGGAGAAAAGGACATTGCATGTAAATAGAATATCAGAATTAAAACAAGAAATTGATAGCCTGAAATCTGAAATAGATGCGACAAAACTACAACAGAAAATAGTAGATAAAAAGATTTTTAATGCAATTAAACAACAGGAGGAATTAAAGGAAAAAGTAAACAATGAGAAATCAAAAAGAGATAGTTTGTGTATTGAAATGGTTGATTTACAACAAGGTATACTTTAAATGTCATCTCTTATTTAGAATAATATTGAGTTTGAATTGATTTTCTTATGCTTCTAATACATTTATTCATAATTGAATGAACTTTAAAGAACGATTGGAATTTTTGCTTTATTAAAAAAATGCTTAAGACAGATTTCCATTTTACATGCTATATGAGCCATGAAAATGATGGAGCTAAGTTTATAAATATTGAAAAATCTCTTTTCAGAGTCTGAAAAAAGAAGGGAGAATAAGATATTAACTTGGAATGCTATTAAGCGTGCCTGTCACATTTACAAGCAATATCTGGATGTCCATGTACAACTGCTTGATACTAAGGAATGTGAACATATACGAATATCCTTTTTTACGCATAATGAGGATTTGAACAATAAATATTTTGTGAATTTGTATAATTCTAGCAATCAGTGGAAAGGTATGGATAATTTATTCTTCAAACTGTGAATGGTTTTTCCAAGCATCAATTCCTCCAGAAGAAACTATTATAAAGAATAATTATGCATTTTTCAGTGGAAGAAGTTCAGCCGGAGTTTAAAAAAGAAGACTTTGATGACTTTAAAGGGATCGTTGACTTTTCTGCACAATCAGAAATATTTGATATTACAGCATTTCTTTGTAAATTAAGGCATATATTTATTAAATGTTACTTAAATACAAAATAATAATGTAAGATGGTTCAAATGTTTGTTTCAGTATTATTACTAATAGCCTGATAATGTTGAGGGACATAAATAATGTTACAACATTTATGGCTGTTTGTTATAAGATTAAAGCCTTTATTAATAAAAACTAACAGATCTAAAACGCCTATTACATATATAGAATTTGTAGTGCTAAACGTCACGGACTTAACATTGGTATCTTATTAAAATATAATATTTATCATTAGTACAATAATCTTCTGGTATTATTACATATATTGCGTCGATCGTCTTGATATTCTACCTGCCTACAGTTCATGTTAGAAACAGTAAACTGCTAATCACAGTGTGGATAAATTACTTAGGTACTAAAATTACAAACAAGTCTCCATTCGATTTCTATTTATATATGGCACCTACAGAGATATATTTGTAATTACACCTTGAATATGCGAGAATTAAACGTTGTTCAGAGTAAAAGGATCGTTAAGCTTGCTTGGAACCGAAGGCTTTACTAAATTTTAAATACGCGTTTGTTTATTCGCCAAACAAGTGTCATAAATATCGTCTAATACTCAATAATTTGTTCTTTGCTTCTCGCAGTGCTTGTAGTAACTCGCTTACATAAAATACTTAGCTGATAAATTATTTTGATTTTTGCGTCCTAGCTAATATGAAGCTAGCAGTCGGCGTCAACAATGGCTTTCTCACATTTATATAAAAAGATTATAAATAGTTGAGACTTCGTATGATTTTCACGTGAAAAGAAAATATTTCAACGGACACATGAATTGCAGGAACCAAAGTGTAAAAAGAAAATGAAACTATAGTATTATGAATAAGATTTTAACTATTTCGTCAATATTGTTCGCCAGTACACTTGTTTATGCGAAATTTCGGAAGTTTATATTCTTATTATCTTTTCAGTGACCAGAACAATAAGTGATATGCGGATATTTATGCGAAGTCTCATGTTCATAGACTACTTTATAAAAGTCCACATGACGGAAGAAAGAATCTTTATCAATCCACGTTAAATATCTTTCGTTTTACTGTGTTTCATATGGTTGTTTATACCATAAATGCATTGAAAATCCCGCAGTCTAATAATATACATTCGTTTTAGTAACCGAACCACAGAACTGAATTCTCTTTGTCGATTGCTAGTCTTACATTAATTCAGCCGTCGGATGTTAGTTACACATACGAAATATCCGCGCGCCTTACTGGTACATGGAAAAGGCCAATTGATTATGTATGCATAGAAGCACGTTGATAATAATTCATCCCTATTGGTACGAGTTAACGAGAGGGTCAATTGATCGCCCACTGCCAATCAGCCCATATCGCTGTACACAACGTAAGTTAACAGATTTCACTTACACTATTGACCTGGTCGATCGTTCATTTACTTGATCATGCAGGAATTTAATTAATGATCGAAGCGTCGATGGGAATCGATGGATTACTATGATGCAAAGTATACGATAGCCGTGTTCATTAATCGGCTTTGATACGATTAAAATAATCTAGCAAAATGACTTTTCCATTAGGCTGTCCTCAATTTAACTGCGGACTTCGATAGCAAGAGATACGGTTTCAGCTTAACTTTAATCGGCGAAACGACCATTACATTCGTTATAAATTATTGAATTTGACTTTTAAGAAATTTAGATATCACTGAATTAATAAACTCAACCAGAGAATTTCGTATACTCTTTTACATATATAAATATTTGAAATGATGACATCATGTACAGAGAACCTTGGAGAAACATACCAGTTTGTACAGCAATGTTTGATAAGAACAACCAAGTCAAATGTTCCGTTAAGATAGCAATACGCGCGACCGTTTGAACTGTTCAACTGGAAAGGGAATCCGTCATTACTTCCGGGCAACCTAATATGTTCAATCGAAAGATCAGCTACACAAAAGAAACCGATTAGGATATCGTTATGCATTCACCAACAATGAAATTTTCACTTATATATTATCTTACACATTGTACATCGCAACGCTAGATCTCAGTCGTATTGTCCCATATTATTACAACGAATAATCTAAATGCGATCGGGACACGAAGATCATGGTAACGCGATTACATCGGGCAAGCGTTATGGATAATACTTCGAAGCATGATTAACGATGATTTCTACCAAATCTTACGCCGTTTTGTTAGCGCGGTAGGCTGCGTTCGTAACTTATCACGAAGGATGTTAGTAAAAATTAGGCGGAGATGAATGGTATACGCGAGTTCGAATTAGAAGACGCTCGTCTACCGTAAATAGGGCACGTGTGTCTTCACGACGCATAGTCCACGATCGAAAAGATATCCGAGGTTTGGGCTTGAAAACGAAATCTTCGAGATTGCATTGGAAAGGAAATATTTAACAAACTAATTTGAAAGTTTGTAGAAAAAACTGTACATAACTTATCATATAAAATAGAGAAATACAATACCTTTCCCCATTACGCTAAAATATTGTTCCTACTTTCAAGTTGTTCATCTTCTTCAAATCTTCATTGAGTGTTACGGTTCTTATAAAAAGACTACTCCCACATAGCACATGACGCCCAATGACCCTTTGAAGACAGCTTAAAGGCGTCGTAGACCTAAAATAGCCGTAAAATGGGCGTTTTCAAGGCGTCATGTATTATCTGGGCTATATCTGAAAAATATCGGTTTTCCAATCAAGTCAGTTTTCAGACCATTAAATGTAAAAAATTCCATAATACGTCTACGAGGATGTCTAATTCCAAGTCCGAGGACAGAGATCTTTTCAAACTTTTGGACCGCGTCAGGATTATTAATTATTTACATCGATAGTAATGTCACCCGTTACAAAACAGTAACTTCAGTAACTCGTTCCTCAGGCTTACAAAATGGGGCCACTGTCCCGCGATCAACTGTTCGTTGAAAATCCACCATTTCTCCTCCACCCTTAGGCCTGTACCAGGGCGCGACCGCCGTTCCCGGTCTCCTAATACAGATTCTTTCCCCCCTGCCCCTGTGAGTCCCAGTTTCACACGCCAGGGGAAATCGTCATCCCCGTGACGAAACAAGGAACCCGCGATACGGTGTGATCGAAGCTCGTTAAAATAAATATATATATATCTCGTCGCTTAATCTCTACTAGCGGATCAGAGGGGCTGACCTCTAAAGTCGTGAACGGTAAGTCAGCCACCGATCGAACGTGTCCCTGTCTCTCTGATGTTCGATCGAATTCAAACCAGCGGTTCCTCCCCCCGTTTCCTTGCATATCTCTCTCTCTTTCTCTCTTAAAATTCTGTTCTATTGTACAACGATTCCCTGGGGGATACTTCGCAGCAATTCACGCGCAGGCCGATTCAAACGAACGAAGCGTGTGGTTTCACCCCCATGTAACACCGCCACGGCCGCCGTTGGCCGAGAACGCGCACAATTCTGGTCCTATTTCTCGGCGTACACGCCGCCGTGGGCTCGTTTCCATGTGTGTGACCCCAAATCATCGGCTGAGGGGGGCCACGGGACGAACAAAACCCTCCCCCACGGTCCACTTCCCCCCCAACTGCCTCGTCGGAAACATTCCTGCCGGGTCGATCGTTCACGATCCATCCGTGGCACCAGAACGCCTTTACTCGAGGGTCGCCGCGAAGGACACGTTCCCGCCGGAAGCTGCGGCCGCCGCGGCCAACAGCAACGTCGCCGGCAACGGCGGAAGCGGCGACGTCTGTTCCGCCGGCGTCGAGGCGGTCGTCGGACAATCGTTCGCGACACCGTAGACCTTCGCATGATTCACCTCGAGAGCCACGGTCAGGTCGGCCAGTCCGGGATCGCACAGCACCGGATTATCTGGAAGTATATCACATCGATACATGTTTCGACCTCGCATTGAACGTGTTAAGAAGGTTAGAATCGATAAAAGTTGCTTGGGAACAACAGTGGTGGCATTAGATTTATCTCTGAAGAATGAACGAAAGCACAGAACATTACGAATGTTTTCTTTTTCTTATTTTCATTTAGACTTTTAGAATGTTTGTTTTCGAGGAGTTGATATGAGAGAAAGGAATTCATTTTTTTTTAAAGAATCTAGTAATATTTTTCGGTATTTTTACGTGATTCAATCACACATACTCTTGCATCCCATTCAAAAGATGGGGAACACGCGGTACCATTCTTTTCTCCATCTTTTCTGCTATCGTTAACGTGACAGGGAGCTATCACCCATCTGGGTCGTGTGATTCATCCTGTGTACAAGTAACTGCAAGCAATTACTGGCACTTATCGGCGTTGTGTATATCGTAATTTGCAATGTATTTAGTCAGCAAAACGACTGTCGAGCGCGGAGAGACACGCCGATGCTCCCGTATAAAGATCATTCAGTCTTAGCGGAGTTTTATTACTCGCAAGTAGATTCGTTCCCCTTACTAGCGGGTAACATTTCCCGATTTTTAATTCTTCGTTCGTGACGGCAACACGTAATAACAACCTACATTTACTAAAAATACAAGCTTTCATACAACAGACATATGTATACAGCTGCAGAAATTATCCACGTGGTACCGGTAATAACCGCGAGGGAATAATTAAATTCCAAATTAACCAATTGAATATATATATATAACAAAATAACCCGATTTACAAGCCAGCATTTATTCACGTGATACGCACGCAAGTACACGTGCCGATGCTGTACCCCTTTTTAACTTTTTATTTATAAAACTCACCAGACATCTAATATGGCCGTCTGGCAGAACTGAGAACCAATCCGTGATCACGTGTCTATCATATTTATTCTTCGTGATTTGCAATGTATAAATAAATGTCCTGAAACAATATCGTCTTCTTTCCGACTTGTTCCCTTCGTCATTCAGCTCTCCGAAAAGAAACTCGATTAACGGCGGACAGAGATTACGGAACGGGGTGATCGTGTCTATGGCCGAGGGACCGTTATGTCGCCGGTTGTTTGCGATCGCGTCGCTAATGCGTCGTAAACACATTGATCGTACGGATGCAATAACAACATCGCGGAGCCAGGGACGATCGTCTGCAAATCAACAAGATTCGGGAACACGAGGACCCCTGGTATGATGCCAGGTGAACCAAGAGGTGCGCCGTAGGAGGAACAACGAAGTCGGCCCAGCCTGATAACTAAAAGACGGGGTGGGGGGGGGGAGGCTTTCGACGCGATAAACGACGCCACGAAAAACCATTGCATTAACAATAACAACACCCGGGGGACCGGTCGATGTGGTCGTCCATGCGATATATATATTATATAGAATAAATAATGCGAGATGGCGCCAGGACCGGGGTTATCGCGTGAATTGTAACTCCCCGTGACAAAATAATGCACGGCCCCGGAGGCGAACGGGGAGCCAGGCCGTGATTATCAGCCAGTAATTTATTTTCCGCCGCCGCCACCGCTGACCACTCTCTCATATCCCGTTCTCCGTTTTCCCATCTCGTTCCATCGCGTTGGAGCCGTCCAAGCCTGTCGTCGTTCCTCCTCGCGACACTTAACGACGTGTTTATTAATTACGAGCTGGCGCCCATTCAACGCGTCTCCGTCGGCCGGGCGTCGTTATCCTTGCGAGGGTGGAAAGCGAAATAGCGCGGCACACAGGGCCCCGTGGTATCGCTACACGACCGATTCCGCGAGTTTACGACCGACCCAGACCACACGATCACGCGGTTTCGTGCGTGATTTCCTTTCCCCTTCCACCCCTTCGTCATCGTTCGAGGACAGCGCGGGAATCTCTGTCGCGATCTTGAGGGGATTTTACGCGGACGGGTACCGGAAGTCATGTCTAGCATGGATTTGTCGATCAGTGAAGAATGGTAATTATAGGGTGAACGAACCAATGAATGGACAGTTCAGGGATTTTGTAACTATTAAAGTCGAATTTTAACACTAGTCGATTTTTGTACTGCGTGAACCTTTCCGATTCGCACGAAACATTGTTCCTCGTAATGCTCTCCAAACAATCGGAAGTAAAAACATTGGAAACAATCGGGTCGTTTCGCGTTAATCTTTCTTTACCCGAGGTATTATCACGCGGAATGATTCAATTCCCCTCCGTGTAAGCGTAAAACACGGGGAAATCAAGCGTGACCGTGATCGAATCATCGACATTTCATTCTGCCAGTCAAACCACACACCTGTGTTTGGCCGGTATTGTTTTTTCATTTGCGCAACGCCAAAGACACGCCTGGTCGTTATCGGGACGTCTGTTTGTCTTTCATTAGAAACTGTTGCCAGCGTTCCCTCGGAATTGCCCCACTCCCCTTTCCTCGTGCAAAAGACCCTTATCGAATCGCAAACACCATCCGCCGCGCACAGAAACGGGAACGATCACGAAGGTTGCTCGTTATCGACGATGGATCAGGCTTACCTTGAAGATATATGCGCAGTACGTCCTGGACTCCGTGAACGGTGCAACGAGTGTTCATCACCAGTTCCGGCATTAGAGTGCGTATCCGATTCGCGCTCACGTCCGCCCAGCAGAGAACCGGAAACCCACGGAAGTCCCTCTCGGACAGCGTCACCAGCCGATTGTGCGAGGCATTCAGCTCCTCCAGGGACGGTAACCACGTCTATGATAGAGTACGATCATCGTGTCACAATGGTTGTTTCGTTGATTTAAAATCGAGTCGTTCCAAGAAACGAACAGAGTCTTACGACTATGATTCACGGTCACTTTAGTCTTGTAAATCAGTTGCCATATTTTGCTATTGGGTAAATGTCCTAATTACTGCCAGTGTCCCTAATACGTTTACTTTATTTGTTTTACTTAATAAAAACGTAAGGTATAAAGAATTGTGGACTGTAATTTATATAAAAATTACGAAATACGTGTACCTGTATGTACCTGGTGTTTAATAATTAATGTTGGAAAATGAAAGTGCAATTTGAGCGTCAGAAACATGATTACGCACGTAGGAAATGATAACGAAATCATATTCAAGAAAGAGTCATAATTTTATATACTTTATATTGTACAAAATGAGCTGTTATAATATATCAGAATTACCTTAATTTTTGAGATGACAGCTACAGGGACACTGGAATTATTCGCAGATTTTAATTATGTATCAATTAACTCTTCATATTTAATGTATTAAATGAAGTTAAGCTACTATCTTAAAGTGGAAGTAATTGAGACATCTACACCAATTTGTGAAATTACATTTAATATTTCAATGCTACAACCAACAAGGTTTTAGAACCAATTAGTTCGTTGTAGCATACCCCACTGTATTCTATATTAGCGAATTGTTATTAGTATTCCAGAAGGATGCAGGGTAGAATTACAGTAGTCGATAAACCAACGGTAAGTGTAGCCGTGGTCCACTTGGTATGCAATTAATTGAATTAGTCTCGTAAGTATGTACCTCTGACGTGTCCTCAAGAGTGGTGAGCTCGTTGTGAGAAAGATCGAGGACCTTGAGGCCGTCAAGACCCCGTAAATCGCGGGGCCCGATCGTCGGTCCCAGCGCGTTGTGGCTGAGATTCAACCTCTGCAGTTCCTTCATTCCCAAGAACAACGAGCCGTCCAAGCTACGTAACTCATTGTGCTGAAGACGCATGTCCTGTATATTGCCGCCCGCCGTTTCCTCCCCTTCTTCTTCCACTAAATTCTGAACATACGAATGAAACGGATAGAGCACATCTAGTCTCTAAATGGGATCTTAAATCCGAGAAATAATCAAGATAAAGCCTGGTAACTTAATATTGAGTTTGGTAAAGAGGTGAATTACACATTGGCGCGTCCAATAATTCACCCATTGCGTAATACGACATTTGTAAGACCCTGTTCCAGTTTTGTCTGATAATGTACCATCAACAAAAATTCCATTGATTATAATTGTTTTTTTTTTTTATTTTACAGGATTATTTTGGGTGAGTACCTCAGACGGTGTCCGTCCCCGATGAAGTTGCGCGATTCTGTTGTTCGATAGATCGAGCAATCTTAGCTCCCGCAGACCACGAAGCGACGCGAAGGAGAATTCGCGAAGCTCGTTGTGCGTCAAGTTTAAGCTCTTCAGCGACCTGAGAGGGTAAAGGACACTGTTGCCCCCGTTTCCGTCCCCGTTTCCGCCGACCGTGCCGCCCAACGATTTCAGAGAGTTGTGACCAAGTTCGAGGTCTTCCAGCATCTCCGCCTCTATGAAATCCTCCTCTGTCAACTGACGGAATATATTTCTTTTGCACTCTCATTTGATGAATGGACAAACGATATATATATATATATATATTCTCGAGAAGTTACTATTCTCAACATGAAACTTCATTCTAGAACATAAGTTCCCAAAGTGGACGCTGAGGAGATCTGAGGGGTCGTTTTAGTTATTTTATTTTCTTATTTTTAATTTAATTTTTTAAAATTAAAAAATTACACGTACGAGTGAGCCAGAAAAGATTGGGAAACTATGTTCTAGAAGTACATACCATTTGAACGTTGTCTCAGATATTACTACAACTAGATCCGTGATATTGTATAACGTTCTTCTTTCTTATTTCGCGGGAATCGATAGATTTCCTGGAAACTAGAACACTTGTCTCGATAACTCCGTAGAGAGAATGTTAATTGAAGTTTTCTAGAATTCAGTAGCTTTCTTTTCTCGCTCAGAGGAATTACGCTCTTGGCGGTGTGATGCGCTAACGAAGAAACCTTTGAAACCGATCGTTCCAGAGAAGTCAGCCCGAACGGATTACGGGCAAAGCACCGGCGCATACCCGTCCGTTTCAATAAAAATTTAATCCGCAGGACGGAAGCGCACGACATAATAATTACATTAGGATGTAGTAATTGACTTAATGCACGGAACACTGAACGAACGCCTCCGCGCGTTATCATGCACCGCGATCGTGCGCTTGCACTTTACGCGTGTGTACGGCATCTTTTATGAGGTTATTAGTATCGAATGTCAGATTGCTGATAATCGACGGTAAATTGAAAATTGTTTTGCTGATCGACGCGCAACGAATGATTCCAAAAATGCACCGTTGTGCGCCTGCATCCAGTAAACTCAAAAAACCGAAGTTATTCTCATAATTTTATCTATTTCGTTGTTACATGGAGACTTTATTCGTTTCTTATTTATTAAATAATTAGATAACCACCATAAAATTTTCAATCGTTATGTATCGTGGTAAAAATAAAAACGAACCACTTTTTTGGGGGGAAATATAATCTATCCTTTTCTGGAGAAACATTATTTCTCAACACAATTTCAGACATGGCATATACTTGGTTCGTTTTTATTTTTACCAGAATACATAAGATTGAAAATTTTAGGGCTGTTTTGTAGTTATGCCACGCAGTATATCATCGATACGTAATAATATGCAATAATAATTATTAACACATATATGTGAAAGAAGACGAACATCATCAGAACCATGCATATAAAAAATCAAGTCATGCATGCCCGATCACATTGTTGCAAAAACGACTGTATACCTCTTGCAAGTCGTTGTACGAAAGCTCGAGGAATTTCAGTCGTCGGGCCTTCTGCAACGTGCCGTCCAAGCTCCGGATCTTATTGTGCTGGAGGAACAATGTCTCCAAACGATGCAGGTAACGAAATTCCGCGGGCAAATGTGTCAGTTGATTGTCGACCGCGTAGAGCATCTTCAAGTTGTGACCGGAGGATGGTAGTTCACCGTCCAAGGATGTCAGCTCGTTCGCGTTAATTAACAGCCACTCCAGCTGATTCAAATCTCTGGAACAAAGTTGCGACACGTGGATCTGCGGGCCCTTCATTTTTGAGGGAAGTCCAACCGGTAGTCCGATTAAAGATATATTGTAACCGATCCTTGACCAACCCTTAATCCGTAATCATTCGATGAAAAATAAAATATTGGCAATACAGTTTTAAATTCAATATACCTTCCCGCCTTTTAACTCGATCAAGATAGGGTACGATTGTTGGAGAACAGCGAGAAACATTATTACGGACCATCTGTTCCTGATTTTCTTGCGAATGAATATTGACTTCGATAGCAAATGCTTGTAGAAAAACAAGACGAATTTTTATCGACTAGTAATAAACAATAAATATATGATGGCCAATAGGTTAAGACAAACAAATATTAAATTATCCGTCGTAAATGCTTCTTTCGAGCGGCTCGAACGCATAACTTTCAGCATCGGACACGTGACCAGATCGTTTAATTGTTCTATCCTCCGGATATAATCTGCGTGCGCGCCCTCCCTCGCTTACGATCACTCGGTCATCTTAAGAACGGCCGGTTGCATCAACGGTGAATAGAGCCAATTAAATAAGAGCCACCGACAGAACGATAAACAGGCATGGGCGTAGCCAGGTTATCGGTCGGGGGGAGGGGGAATTTATCATAAGGTAAATTTCATAATATAAAATTCATAAAGGGGTGACACAATTCTTTCTTCTCTAGGATAAGAAAAGGCACCTTTTTTCCTTCCAGGCGGGGGGAATAAGTGCTCCCCCTGCCCTCTCTGGCTACGCCCATGTAAATAGGATGTTCGATTCGGTTTCGGATAGATCACGTACCGAACACGAACTGTCAGTAATCGAGAAACCGTCGTACCTTAGAGTCCGATTCAGACTTTGCAGGTGGTTCCGACCGACATGGAGGTGTTTCACCAATGGCGGCAACGAGCCCGGTACCATTTCCGAAATCGCGTTCCCGGCCATAGACAGGTGCTGCAGCGTCGGATTGTACTGCAAATCGAACATCAAATTTTCACATTTATCATTAATTATTCAAGATACATAGTTCACTTTTGGAGAAATACACTGCTCAAGGTAGGTGTAACACTCTGGACACATCTGTGATACTCTTTCAAGATGGCGGAGAGGACGACGATCGAAACCTTTGGATTCACAAACCATCAATGTTCGCAAAGTTGTGGTCGTAAAACGTGTTTTATTTTTTAAATTCAAGTTCCTTTGACCATTTTACTTATCCTAAACTTTGAAACGAGGTTGACAGACATTCTGATAGAATTTTGAACATCGAAAACGCTTCGACCGCTCGGCTGTCCGCCATCTTGGAACAGCTATTATTTCGTACGATCAATATTCAATCTCCCTTCAACGGGTGAATTCGCTGTTTGGTTGTTAAAAGATAATTGATAAGTAATAAACAATTACGTATACCGTGGTTTTAAAAACCTTTGGATGTTTTCAGCAAACAAAATTTATGGTTATTATGTACATAATATGTCGAGAAGAAATATAAAGACGATAGCGGATTCGTGAAGATCGTGTTTAGCAGCGTCGACAGACGCGATTAATACCGAGGCCGCGCGCAACATTTAATCGGGAATAGTGGCAGCACGACATGCAAGTGTGAATATCGAAGCGGCGAGTGTGTGTTTCAAGTGCATAGAAGAGATTCGAGCCGCCGCTGCTGCATACGCCACCCGACAGAAACCGATCGACCGATTCGAATCAACAGTTCTCGAGCTGTTTACTGTCGCGTGATGAACAGCCGTCTTTTTTCGCGATAGTTCGCCGATGCAGGCATCATTATTACATCACTGTTATCGGCACGTTTCTTTTTACCGTATACAAATACGCGTAATTTCCTGCGAAATCCATGAACAAGTGATTCGCAAATTATGTATTAGCTCCCACAATTTTATGCCACATACAAGTACAAAACTAACGTATAATGTATGTAATAATGATGTTATGGTTGATAAATAGTGACCATTAATTATCTACATGAATTTAATCCAATAAATGTGGCTAAATATCATACGCTATTTTATACTGCCCATAAAGATAGTTCATTCTTGTACACGAATAGTGTTACAAAGATTACATGTAAAATTAATTTGATTGATTTCTGTTTGTCTAAAAATTTCATAATCATAAGAAGAATTTTGATTATTATTCTTACTAGCCAAAATTTTACATATAATAAACGATCTGCGGCCACCCAGGTATGAGGGCTCCTTTTGCACCTCCGGCAGGAACGGCCCTGATTGGGTCCTTAACCAGAGAACATGAGTTAATTTATCATTTGCACTGGACTATACCTACCAGTGATTTACCATTTTTCTAATTAGTTCCCTTAAAGATTCTCATGTTCAATCCCATCGTAACACCTGTGTACTCATCTCTTGCATTGCGATCGAGAAACAACGCCGGCGAGGAGGAATCGGATATTACATGAATTACGTCGATTACGAGAAACACGGATAAAAGACATTTTTCTTTTGCGTTCCTACGGTCTCTTTATGTCTCGTTGTGGCTAAAACGTGCGATAAACAGCACGAGGCATCCGTGGATAAAAAATCACACAAGTGGCACGTATCGTCTGGAAAACGATTGGCGGACTATTCTCTGCACGTGGCCGGTCACGTGCGCGCCAAGCGCCAGGGAAACCCCACCAGGCCTTCTAGTTGCTGTGCTCCTCTCCTCGAGATGAATTGTTCGTTCATACTCCAGCCATAAATATGTATGTAACCACTACAAAGTCACGCGTAACGCGCGAAATGTGCTCCGCGGGAAAACATCTCGTTTTTTAACCCTTTTTTTTCTCTTTCCTTATACAAGGCGTTCGAAGTCGCTACTACGATTTGTATTTACATTATTCTTAGTAGGGAAAAAGGGGTCAAGGGAAGAATTGATTCCTTTGAGACTGTCATCAAATGACAGAAATATGTTAAAATATGAAAAAATACGTCTGCGTAATTAAAATTCGTCACTTGTGAACTAGCTTTCAGAATTGCATTCCAAGATTCCAATGTACGAAGACATTCGTTACAGGGAATAGAGACATTACGAGCAAGGGGGACATTTCATGCATTCCAGGAGTTAGCCCGAATGAGATTAGATTCAATCAGTTCGATAAATGCATAATTCGAAAGGCGACAGCGCTACTACGGTCAGCAAAGGTTACATCGAACGTTTGTAATTGGTATTCATTAATGTCGAGTAGATATTCTTCCTGTCAATAAGGTGCTCCCCATCTACATATGTCACGATTACCAGTTACTGTTATTATTGCTCCAGATGCATTTTTTTCCTACGTTAAAACACGTTAAGCCTTACCTATGTAAAAAAAAAAGTAAGGTCATAATTTCTCGATTACACTCAATCTCCAAAATATGTACTTGCTGGTGATTGGGACCGATTTCAATTAAACGTAAGAACAGAAATGGAGCATAGAGCTTGTTGACGGGCTTACGGGCAGCTTTAAATTTCTAAATGAAATTTAAACGACGCCTAAAGCTTTCAAACGTCAGCATAACATTTACCCAAGGAGATGCCAGCAGTGTTGACCAGTGTTTTCTTTTTCTCTAAATCATAGGTGTTACATTTAATACCTTGAAGTCATCGGGGTCTATGCGGCTTATCCGATTTCTGCTGAGATCTAGGGTCCTCAGCAGAGATAGATGCGTCAGAATGTGCCTCGGTATAGACGGCACTTCGTTATCCGCAAGACTAAGGTACTGTGTTCTTCCCAAACCCGCGAAAACGCCGCCGTCCACGTACCTACAAAACAATAACTCGCTCTTTATTTTCTGTTATTCAGCATGTGTAACGTGCAAAAGTTGACGAGAAGTCACCTTTGAATTATAAACGTTAAGCAATATAAAATCAATTTTATACAATCGATCGGTATTGTACGAAGTATGACGAACGCAACGTTCGCTATCTTTAAGAGAAACTACTTTTATTTCTCCCAGCACCGTGGATAGTAATTTCTGGGAAAGTAATTTCCTGGAAACCTTTGCACGCCTCTATATAACTAAATGTAATTGAATACAGTATCATTATTATTAGTCACAGTACTCCTTTGTAATTAAAAGACCACATGACTTTCATCCTTAATAACGTATTTAGGATTATTAAGCTTCCAATCAGTAGAATAACGTAACTGTTTCGAGGACCATTGATCGTCGATCGATCATTTTATCGTGTCGTGCATACGTTATTTATTCAGTTCTCGTCTATGAAAAACACTTTTCCCCGGGAACGATAAAGATCACGGTGGATGACTGTACCGATCATCGCGAGATAATTCCAAAAGTACGAGAAGCACGAAGCATCTCATGTCGAAAAATTTCGAATGGCATCTCTCGATAACGGCGTTATCGTTGACCGCGCGGAGCGATCACACACCGAACAACGTGTGACCGTTGTAAACACATGGCCGGCGAGGCGATACGCAATCAATTCCGAATTTATCAGCGGCGAAACGAAGTTATCGCTCATTGTCCTAGTCACGGACCAAAGGAGGAAACACAAATTCCTTTCTGTTCGTCCACAAAGTCGGAAAGGATTGAACCGTATCTACAGACGACGTTGAGTTCTTAAAAAATTTACCGAATAAAATATATCATTTTCCAGAAAATGACAAGAAAAAAAAATCACCCGAATGAATGCACCAGTGAATTAATTGACCGATAAACACATATATATCGTGCGTTAATTCTTGCAAATTCTTCAGTTACATTTATGAGCGATAGCGACTATAAGATCGTTGGCAATTATCAACATTTAATTTTATTTGTGAAATTGCAACGTATATCTCGATGGGGCCAAATCTTTATCAAGATATCAGGAGAGGAACAATGGTAACGTGTCCAAAATCGCGGCCGGCCACGGTCATTATCGTTCGATTATTCACATAATGTTGGCTCACAGCATTTCGTTATTTAATTATTCCGAAACGATAAGCGCGCAGGGCCCGTCGATAACACGCTCGAAGAGGTCAGGCACGATTAAGATTTCATTCTCGCGACTTCTTTTCCCCCGTCCTTTTCTGCCGTACGCGGCAAAGACGCTGTTTCCGTTCCGTCGTTCCGCTCCCTCAAGGACTTTCGTTTTCTCTCATCTGCCGGCGAGGTGCGTGGCCTATCAGGATAATCAAGGAAGACCAGTGTGCCGCGTGTCCTTTGCGCCCGTTCACGGCGAAACGTACGATAATTTTATCTAGAAAACGAGGAAATCTCTCTCTCTCTCTCTCTCTCTCTCTCTCTCTCTCTCTCCCATGAATTAACTTCGACAATAATTGAGGATTTCATTGTCGGTATCCCTTTTCTTTTCATCGAGATCAATTACATTTATATGGACAGGGAAATTATTTCTAACTGCAGGCACAGACTTTAGAATGAATTCGCGTCTAACAGTGCCCGCCTGTTAGAATTCTACAAGGACATTTATTTTATTAAATCGACGAAACGTAACAATCTTTCAGATTCGCAAAATTTGGAACACTCGCCTCATTATCTTCGTATTATTTAATACATTATCATTAGCCGTATAAAAATATAAAGAAATAAAAAGTGTCTTGCGATGATAAACGAGGACGAAGATTATAGTAATTGCTTCAGATAGTAGTTCGTACAATTTTGTGCTAGATCGAGGATATTGCAAATTACCCGCGGTTTTCGAAAATCGTTTGCGCGCGCGCGTTTCGTTCGAAATGATTTCCGACCGTGTCGTGCCGATTCGCGAAATAATTACGCTAATTGGTGCCGAGGCTTTGTTATATAGAAAACATCTTTGCTCAATGCTTGCAACATCAGACGATGACCTTTCGCGAAGATATTGTCACTGTTATCAATGCATAATATGTGTGAAGCTTACTCGCGTGCTTTTCTATGAGTCTTCGTTATGAAGCGTTTCCTCGGAAATACCTGGCATAATTGTTTTTTAAAAAAAAAGAAGGGAAAGAAACACTACGTTGCCTTATTTAATCTTCGACATTTTGTCAAATTCAACTCTCATTTCTGAAGAAATCGAAAGCCCTTCGACAATGTATTTGACCGACGAGCAGATGTCTGGAATTTAAACCATGGTACCGGTTTGGTAAAGAAAAGGACATAACGGATTATTTATCGGTACCCTTAATATTTTTCAATTCCTAAAAACTGCGCGCACTAGATTCCCAAGTGATTAAGGAATTTTATAGTCGTATCAACGAAATGTGCGATCAACACGGTAATTCGAGTAGCAAAAAGTCCTCGGAAATGATATCCCCGTATCTGCATGTATTCCGATAGGTTAACACCGATTAGGTCGTGCGGATTTTATGCGCTTTTAGCGGAAGCTGAATCGCCGAAGGCGACAAAACAATCGTCCTGATAAAAAAAAATACAACAGACTTACGATTTCGTTTCTCGAATTTTTCCATTTGTTTCTAGCGTAATGTACGAAGTACGGTACATATACAAGGACAGAGAAAAGAGAAGCTGGAATTTGCGTGGAGATCGGTCTTCTAGGTTACGACGCTCGAAGGAATGTTCACGTGACACCGGGGAACCTCCACCGCGCACCAGAGAGATAAGTGTGGTAAAACGAAAAAAGAAGAGAGAAAGAGAGAGGGAGAGAGAAAAAAAAGAAAAGGAAACAAAAAAAGTGGAGCGAAGAAAGAGTTTACCAGCTTCTAGAAACGGCGATACCCTGTTTCGTCGGCTGAATGGTGCGCGCGTGGTTCGAGGCAAAGCGTGTGGCCTGATATCACTTATCCACGCACTTCGCTATCGTGGTCTACACGATTTTCTTCGACGGCCCGAAGAATTTCCTCGGCCCTGGCCCCCTCGGCCCTGCCCACCCGCGGCCGAGTCTTCCACGAAATGATCGAGGAAGATTCCTTGAAGCCCGCGAGGTCGGTCTCTGTCGCGAGGCGAAAGTATTCATTCCGCAACATCGGCTTGACCGCTTTGTCTCGAGGCGGACCGCGCGGGCCCGTACCTTCCCCCCTCCCCCCTCCCTCCATCATGCCCCGATAACAAACCTTTGTGTTCCCAGTCAGAAGATATTGGAATAAAGAAAAACGAGAGAGAGAAAAAGAGAGTTGGGAGACAGAGAGAGAGAGAGAGAGAGAGAGAGAGAGAGAGAGAGAGATACATTCCAACGACTTTCAAATTACCGCGGGCGACGTAAGTAAGTACAAGAACCAGATGGGACAGGGGCGAAGAAGAAAAAAGAAGAAATAAAAAAGGCTTGTGCCGCACACGGTGGCTTGGGCGTAGCGTGTTTAACAAACAGAAAAAAGAATCGGCGATACACAGAGACATCACACAACAAGTTCGGGCAGATATATCTATGTACGTATATACATGCGCATGTGGTGTATGTATACCGTTTTGTCGCGAGAAAACAGAAACTAATCTGAACGCTCCCGGAGCTGAAAACTCTGAACGGGCGTGTACAGAGTCCGACGCTATAGGGATAGGATACTTGTAAACGAATGTATGTTGTTGTGAATTGAAATGTCTTTCGGTCGTTGAGATGGTCGAGAGGAAGAATTTTACGAAGAAGGGGTTGAAATTTACGTTGGGAGGTCGTCGAAATAGTCACGTTTTGAATTACTGTTTGGGAAATAGAATAGCTGGTAGTTTAGTTGATTGGAGACATCTTGTACAACATATGTATGAGTTCATAGATCACCTCTTGATCGTCATCCGAAGTCTCTGTTTATCGTCATTTCGTTTTATGGACGACTTCGTATTGCTATATCCTATGCTTGAATGTGATTAAAATTTTATTCGATTAATGGATAATAAATAGAAACACTCTATAGTGGTTTCAGTTCAATCTGATATGCTGTTCGATTTTTTGGTAAAACAATGTTTTATTTAAAAGAAACGAACACATATGTAAATAAATATTTAATCCCACAAATATCTGAATGTAAGCCTCTGCAGGTTCGTTCTATCCCACGTCTGTTATTCAAATAAAAGTATGCCCACCTTTGAGTGACATGAAATTTGGCATTCAATGCTATTGCCTTATTGGTAAAATGATCTTTAAAGATACGGAAAATGATTTAGTCGTCAAGCGATAGTCATTCAATTAGCAATATTCATACAACGTAATCTAATGTTTTATTTCTACGAATAAATAATTTATACACTGCTTCTATTCACCATCCATCAGAATGTCCCTGGAAATATTACGTATCTCTGCTCATCTGCCATTCCCACTCCTTTTACAAATCGGAGAAACAGAATTGTCGACAAAACGATGACAGGTGGATCATGAATCAAAATACATTTCGACGATTACTTCTTTCCTAACCGCCAAATCCATAAATTCCCCCGACAATCCTTAAATATCAATAAACTCGCGTCGATGCAGATACTATATTGCGAAGAAAACAGAGGATTTATCTTCGCCACGAGCGAACACTGTTTACAAGCAGAAGGGTTAACAGACTAAAGTATCCGTATACGCAATATTCTCCGGAAGATTCGAATAATATATAAGATAAACGCACCAATAAACAAACATTAAGAGGTTTTCTAACTATTAAAGTCGAATTTTAAATGGTAATAATATTAATAAATATTTGGCACATGAAAATTAGATTCTTTAATATCTACACACTTTCATAATTTATAGATTTTAATATTCCAAAGATTGGAGAAATGTAATTGATTAAATGAAAAAGAAAAAGTGTTCATCAGTGAATGAACAACATTAACCCCTTGCCTTACAACATCAAGTCAGACACGTGATAACGCTTTTGAACTGAATTTAGTAAACATGTATATTATCAGTTTTCTTTGAGTCGACGTGAAATACCGTTTAGCTGGTATTAGCATTCAAGGTTTCGAATAAATCTAACACTTGCCATAAGAATAGAATTCCTTTAGTGCCTCGGTAATTCTTAAGAGTGAAGCCGTAAAAGAAATCGTACGACAAGGGGTTAAGTATATGAACATTTCGAATACCAATGTCACGAATATTGTTTGAGTATGAAACAAGGAATTGAAGAAAAAAAATCAATATTCAATCATTTGCCTATGTTAATAACTTAATTTACTCGTTTTTATATACAATGTTCATTCACTGGTACGGTGTTCATTTACCCGGTGCATCTACCCTACACGTTTCTCTGGGTCTCGCCGAAGCGGTTCACTCACCCCAGATGATCGTGGTTCAGCTCGAGCCTCGTGATGGACATACGCAGCTCTTTGAAATCATGCCGCGATATGTCCCTGAGATTCGAATGCGACACCCTCAGCGTGATCTGTTGCTCCGCGGTGAATTTACCCCTTAACGCGCCCGCAACCTGCTCGAATGAGTCCATGCGCTCGCACACCACCTCGATCCGTTCCCCGTGTCCGTGATGGCCGGCATTGTTCGCGGTATTGGCCGCAGCGGCGGCGGCGGCCGCCGCGGCCGGGTTGATAACGGGACTGGAGAACTCCTCCTGTCGGCAGGTGCACGGGCTTATCTCGCGTCTAACGGCGCAATGGAGGCTCGTGCTGGCCGCGAGCCCCAGAAGTGTGTAAAGCAGCCCGGACATGGTCGCGTTCGGTAACGTCAAAACGGAACCACCACCACTACCGCCGCGACGGCGATCAGCATCCAAAATCCAACGGCAACAGTAGCAGCAGAACAAGAAGGTACACACGGCGCCTTGGTCAACTGGCCGGATCCTCGCTACAGGTCACACGGACCATGCGCACCCCCTCGATTCCCAACCGTCTCTTCAGGTGATCGCGGATGGCTCTTCTGATATCACTGACACTTCGCCACCTTTCGTGTGATTTCTCTGTCGCGTGACCACACGATACCTTTTCGAGGCGTTTTAAAACTCACTCCGATAATCCGGAACCGTTCTGTCCTTTTATCCTTGTTGTATCTTTTGGTTTTCCGCGAGCACTGGTAACAAACAATTATCCCGTTAATTTGTTGTGTACGGAGAAAAAGAATATAGAATCGATTCCTCTAGTGAACTCCACCGGTTACGAATGTCAACTGCGTGTCGGAATATTTACAGAATACATCTGGTAATATCGTAAACGGAAGGGACAAGGGAGCGTGTATATCAGTGAGACGGGTAGATAAGGGGGTTGAAACTCCGATCGGTGAATAGACACACTACTCCGACTATACTGTTCACCGCCACTAAACTCGAGACTGACACTGGGGCCGGACACGGCTGACAGCTACGTATTATCTACACTGTCGCGATCCACACCCCGCACGGGGTATACGTCTCTGTATATATATATGTATATGAAATATATGTACATATATATACATATGTGTTCACTGCTGAAACGCGGGTGAAAGCTGGCCTGCTGGCGTGTCTATCTCCGTTTTTCTCTCTTTCGTTTACTCGTTCCTGTGCCGGACACGAAGGAGGCTTATCGTCGCCAATGGGGCCCTCCTCTTGGCGCCACGAACGCGGCAACGGCATTAAACCGCGGCGCGCCGCGCGAGACTTACTTATAGTCGCAACGTCGTCGGGTGCCGTGGCGCGCGACGCGGCGCCGTGCCTCCGGGAGGGACTCTCCAGCTCCTCCTCAGGACACCACCGTACATTATGTGCTTACCGAGGGTCTCTCCCTCTCTCTCTCTCTCTCTTTCACACTCTTATTACGGCTCTTTTCTTTTATTCATCAAGTGATCTGTTTATCTCATCGTCGGATACAGCCCGAGCCGGAAGCACTAGCACGCGAAACGAACACTTGGCGCCGCCCTCGGGGAAAGATTTCGATGTGTTGGATCCTTACCGGGTGGTAGCTACGAGATGGATCCTGACAGCTTGCGAAAACCAGCGGGCCCGTTGACACCGGAGGCGACACCGGGATATCCCATCCGGGAACATCCACGTAGAATTGACGAGAGAAGAGGAACGGAGACGATTTCCGCGGCGCAGCAGTTCGCAGAGTTTTTCCGTTGGTTAATCGGACAGGCAGCGCGGACCCGAGTTTTCACGCAAGACGACGACCAGCCGGAACGAGTCCGTGAATCCGCTCGTTCCCAGCGCACTGCATACGCAAAGGCGGTGTTTGCACCGATAACGAGAGCATTGCTCAACTTTTGACCTTTGCTTAGCAGCTCCGCGGGTCCGGCGGGGCTGAAAAGAAAATACCAGATAATTCGCTCGTTCGGCCGTTCTCTCTCTCTCTCCCTCTTCTTTTCTCACTTTTTCTCTGACTCCTTCTCCCATCAGGCCTCGCCGACAGTCGTTCATCTCTGTCCAACTACGAGCGTCCCGTCTTTCTTCCTCCGGCGCGGCGGTAGCTATTAGACGCGCGTTTTACGGAACGACGAGAACTCCGGGGACCTCGTGAAACGGCAGATACCTTGAAAGCAAAAATGCATCGCCATGTATCTCGATGATTATTTAACAATCGAAGGTGGGAAATATGTATATACATCGTTCACTTTGTTTGGTATACATATACGCAGAATTTTTCTCGTTAATCCCCGATTACACTCGACTCGCATGCGACCGATGTTATATCCAGGGCACTTACGGATGTTAATGCAACTTCTCTCGCATCGTAGCGTGTGTTTATTAATATTTATATATTGTATGCACGTTCAGCATGTTTTAATTGCGACGCAATTAACGTGACGATTTAACGTGATTACACGTCACTCTTTTATTACCCGTCGGACGTCACTCCTCGTCTTGCCCTTCGTGCCCATACGGCGGAGATCGTCGTCACCTTCCACCATCGGATGCCACTTTAGGGCGAGGCAGTGTCACATAAGTATGTATCCGGAAGGGGGGGGGGGGAGAGACGATGGACTTCGAGGTGGACGAACCATCAGGAACGCTCTTGGAATCCCGATGATACATCTTCCTTCTCGTTAATAATAACATTGTCATTGCCGTCATTGCCGTCATTGCTGTCCACTTATGCTTAATTATCGTCCTCGTCGCCGCTGAATAAACTGAAACTCAATAGTGTTGTTCAGTGAAGTTGTTAAAACTACTTTATGCCAGATTCTGTTAGCTCATTCTTACGACTGATATCAGTTCTGTTGCACAAAATGGCAAGTTCCGGTAGCATTAGTAAATATTTCCTTTTTCCCTTATCGTTGCTGATCGCTGGAATTCTTATGGCCACCGCTGACATTTTTATTATTGTTCTTGTTGTCGCCGTCAGCGTCGTTACCATTCTTATTGCCATCGTTGCCACTGCAAGGCTACCGGTCTTTACAGATATTGAACATGCAACCGGGGAACGGATGCGACCATTAAGAGCTGGAGATTTAGGTAGGTGTTAAAGCTGGCGCGTACTCGACACACGACTTTTACAGGATGTTTGACACGAGACGCGAGAGACCCTGAAACAATCCAATTATATCAGGTTGTTGAACGTGGAACGTTGGTTTTTGCGAAGTTTGCTGTTCGACGTCGTGAAAACGCGAGTCGAATAACATTCGTATGTAAACTTCTTTCGATAAATTTAAGTTTATCATTTAACTATTACACCCACGTTTGAACTTTCAATTCACATTTCCAGAATTTATCAAACATTGGCGAAGACACTGTAAAAAATGGCGTCGAAAGAACTTCTGGTTTTAAAGGTTTACAAATCTATATCTGAATTCGTCGTAAAAAATAACAATGTTCATATGAAATCCTAAAAAATCAAATCGAAACTTTCATATTCAGACTCGTTAACTTCGTAGTCGATATTAATTAGGGGATCATCGTGATCGTGAGTGCCCTCTCAACGCTCCCTTTCGCTCATCGTCATACAGATACCGTTTAATTGCCGACCTCGCCAGCGCGGACATTCGTTTCTTGGTTCATTGAAGCGAAAGCAAATAATTCACGATCGCGCGCGTCGCATTTTCGCTCGTCCGTCGCGGTTGGCCCCTATGAATTCCAAGCGGCGTGTATCGTGTATCATCCCGCGTCCCAGCCAGCGACAGACGGAGACGAGAACTCGAGAGAGTACTTTATGCTCGGCTCATATCATTAATGTTCCGCGGATGCCGTGGCCAAGCGTCGTCTCCCGTTCTATCAGCCGAAGACATTAAATGGATCTCGCCTTGACCACAAAGACGAACGCGAACGCTTCGAGGAGTCGTGTACAATGGAGGACGAAACGATGTAGAACAAAAAAATAGGGTGGGGGGAACGGGCAAGAAGGAGACCAAGTCAATTCATAATTGATAATTAATATCTCTAACGCGTTTCGTGTGAAATTTCACGTTACCAATGGTATTTCAAGAACTGCTCAGAAGATTCCATGGCATTGATATTAAATCCTAAATGTATATTAATAAGAAGTTACTTTCGCGACATTGTTTTTACAGTCCCTGATACGCCTGGATCAAACTACGTTTGCATCGAGCTTGTAAGTCATGAATAACTTCGATCCGTGTATGACCGTTGAAAATCCCATTGTAGCTTCGTGGTACCCGACACTTTTCTATATTAATTAACAAATGCAGAGATCAATTTCATACAAACCTAACCTCTCGACATAATCTACATACATGTATGTACATATCCTTCATTTTCAGCGACCAGTCTTTCTCGAGGCTTCCAATATTTTCCAGAATTGCATTTCCCTCCGGAATAAACTGTAGAAGCGATTCCGAGAGGTTTTTGGCCAATGGCTCACGTGTCAAACCGTCCTTTAGGGGTTCCATCTTCATCACGAGCATCGAACAGGTTCGCAACGTATAGTCGCAGCGGCCATTATCGGACTCGGTGAACGGAAATTGTATCATCGTCGATAACGAAGACAATGCGTATCGATTCGGGGTACGATCAGCGGTACGATACCTAAACTCTTCACGAGAACCGCTTTGCCCCGAAAGACGATTGGCGACCGATGCGCACCGGTGGAAACCGGTCATCTTAAACGCGTACCGGTGTGCCGTGTAAACGGGACGAGGACAAATCGATGTCCGCGCCCTCTCCACGGATGGCAAATTTGGGATCCGTGACCGCTCTTAATATCGCGGGGTGGTACGATGGTGGCTCTATAGGGGGCAGGGGAGCGGCGTCAGCCAGGGGAAGGAGGTACGAGCTGCGGTGAGGGAGCACTAACTCGATGTGTTAGTTAACGAATGCGAGAATGCGGCCTGGCGCCAACGCACACGCACGCGGGTTCGACGTGTCACGCAGTCTTCCTCGCTACCGGCCTCGGTATATTGGTTTATCCCTTCTCCCCAGCTTCCCTGGATCTCCCTGTTGCATAGCTTCAAGGCACGCACGCGAACTCCTCGTTTTCTTGTCGAGAAAAAGGGACGACCAGCCAGGAAGAAAGAGGACGGGAAAGATGGCAGAGCAGCCAGTAGCAGTTTAGAGTATGCAGAGGCATTAAGGTGGCCGATAGGGATAGTCAAAGAGCTCCCGTTTGTCGTTTCGAATTCTTCCATAGGCACTCGGCTCCAGTCCCTGTATTATAACTATTATCGTTCGTCCTCATTAAGCAGTTTATCGATAAACGTGGAATAAAATACAATTTTATGAATGAAAATATCCTCTACCTTTCATGTGTAGTCGAAGATTGGAGAATTTACTTTTTTCTTGGTTTTATTTATAAAAATTGCTGTGCTGAAACGTAACAGATTAATCAGACTGATTGTTCGAGATTGTTCATCTCGAATTTTATCGAAGTGATCCGCTGACCGGAGCAGCTCTCGACTAGCGAGGTGTAGGAGAGGTAAATCGAGTGGCGATTACTTCGAGTGTCGATCGTAACACGTGTTCCCATTCCGAGTATTAGTCACGATAAACTCGTCGATACATTCACGAGAATGAATTACGTTTTCTGTCCTTCGTTTTCTCTACCTTTTTCACGCGGCGTTCAACGTTCGTTTCATTCCATTTTTCGACAGTTTGTCGTTATTGTTGAGCAACGACTGCAGGACTGGGCGAGCAATGCTATGCGACGACTGGCGAAACACGGGGTACTAAAATAATTTAAGTATCTACTAACTGACAAGACTTCAAGGCATGCTAAATCGAGATAGCTACATCATTACGAAGCTGCAACTCTGACTGGCGCCTCTCTATTTCTTGTCCCAATGGGACCGAAGGATTTAAATCGATGGGGGGACGCGCAGGCCAAGCAATTGATCCTCCTCCGGCAATCCATTAATTAGGGTAATTAATATTAAGTTATCTATACTCTCGTTCTCAGCCGACTCTATTCGGACCAACAACGTCTTAGACGATTAACATATCCTTGTAGATGATGTGCTTATTCCACCTGTGATCACCGATATCCAACGTGACGTCGTAATGCATTGTTGATATTCCTATCATACATGTTCATTACAAAATTTCTAACTCCACATTATTATTCGGTCCTCTGTGTTACTAAAAATTGAAAGAATATTCAGAACTATGGCAATACGTATCCGGTCATTGGTAACTACCACCACTGAAGATACTAACAATAAAAGAATCATGGCGGTCAACGTGTCAAGATGAGAATCACAAAAAACATGATCACTCCATAGACAATTAATGATTCCCACAGTATTTGTATGTATTCACTTTTAACAATACTTATTCCTGCCAACTAACAGAAGGGATCGCGAGACAAGCTAACAAAATACCAGCGTGGATTCTATATTTTTCAAGGAATGTTGAGAGCCCCTGGCTCTGTGTGTTTATGATGGGATTTAAAGAAGCATCTCTCTTATCTTCCTCCGACACGGCCACGGGTGAATCTCTTGGTTTTTCAGTTCTATCGGTCTTATTGGGGCCTTTTTCTGCTCGGACGCCGGGGCGCCGGGGCCCGCTACGGTATGAGACGGGAACGCGCCGTCACTTCCTGCATACAAAACTGAAGCACCATTAACATTCTTCGACGGTGCACGATCGGCCGTATTATCTTCTACCGATATAAGTATATGTACGCGTGCATACGCATACAAAGGAACGCGTGTACTCCTCGGCATACCCGCGTGGTTCAGTCGATGCCCTAATCTGAATAATGCGATCGGCCTGCCATGGAATCTTCTCCGCTTCTCTTTTTCATCTTCGCGTGGATCACGCGATGCCCAGTGGCAGCCCTCGATCCCCTGGATTGCGATCCGTTCGACGGTAGCGCTTTCGAATTCATCCGCGCTTCGTCCTCCACCCGAAAATCCCTGTTCCTTCACGATCGCGCGATCGACGAGTGCATCGTCGTCTCTCGACACCGTCCCTCTGGTGAAAAAATGAGATCACGAGAATTTGGCGAAACGACGCATGATTCCATTTTTATTTTTTATTTTTTTCGCCCACTTTAACGTTTATACATACAGGTACCTTTCGAAACAACGACTAACAAGGAAATTACCCCAACTGTACCACTTCGATTTTACCATCCTTTTGTAGGATGATAAAATATATACTTCTAATGATATGTATGAAATATTAGCTGTAGTTACTTGATAGTTTTGAAGGTATTGTTGATTAAAGTTTCATACCTAGTTGTATATGTACTATGAATATAGGTGTCTGTGAAATCTGCGATGGGGAAATGACGACTTAATATTTGGACACGTAGGGAAATCTGATTAAAAGCTTTTTAGTGTCATAATTACGAACGTAGAACCGAATGTTTCATTTACTTAAAGAAAATCGGCAATATCGATCGATTTAGTCACAAATTAGCAAAGAAAATCTGTTTTCGTTTGATTTAAAAATTGCGCGCGATTTCTAAAATTCACGTTATCGATTCACCGACTCGACGGGTTTGTTTTAGTACCGCCATCTAAACTACATCGAAATAACTTGAACACTGTCGATACGACAGAATTACGACGATTCTAATCAATTCTGAAGCACGTTTGCATCTAGGGAATAATTTCGCTGGTGTATTGGCGACAACCGTAGTGTCGCTGATAAAGCGAATTCTGGGTAAAATAACGTCTGTCGTGTCGACTGTCGCTGTAAAATTTCATCGGTGGGTTCATTAAAAAAACGATAAAAATCGACGCGATAGAGTTTTATTACGTAATTTCTTCGTCACGTCGGATCGATTCGAATAAAAAAAAATTTTCCCCGTAGTTCGAGCATTGTATATTTCGTCTTATTAGCTTGTTAAGTTACTGAGTGTCGTTTTGCAGACCCCCATACTTGCGTGTGCTTTGCGTGAGTGTAACAAGAGAATTCTGTCCTACACATTGCCATCGTCCTAATAATGTTGTTCATCTTCTGAAATTTTAGCTTTGCCGTGTGAATTAAGGCCGATCTACGATGATTGACCTTACGGTGAAGACTTTAGATTCACAAAATCATGCTTTCTCGTTGGAAGACGACGTAAGTACATTTTTTTCTCTGCACATCTTGAGGCAACCAATTCTTTTGCCCTGCATATTTATGATTTAATGATGTTATACACTATAAATGTCCTCAGTAATTAACATTACTAGTTTTAAGTATATCAGTCACAAATTTAGAAGGTGTTACCATGCAGATAAATGACGTTTGCTTGTTATGTACATGTTTCGTAGTATTGAATAATTTGTTGTCCTGTAACGTAAACGTTAGCTTCAACAACTAACCTTTTGTATTTTATTTATATCTAGTTGTTTTTTAAGCATTCCATTCGGCATTTAATAATATTCATGTAATTATTATATTATACAGCAATAGAAAGCTTTTTGGGTCCCATATCATTTTTACTTTGTATATCGGATACAAATGACTGATATGTTAGTACATGATGTAATAATGTAATAAATGTATATAGCGCAATGTAAAACATAGTCTTGTCAATTTGACATAACTGCAGAATAAAAAGTATACAATTTATGTTTGTTATTTATTAATGATCTTGTTGCTATTTGCATCTATTGAGCTGGAGTTTAATTTCTGACAAAATATTCAGGTATTCAAAGCATCCGACATGATTGGATGTATATGTCTATTATTTGCATATTATATTGAAATCTGCTGAAGTAAAAAATTTAATTATTAACATGTAACCAATGTGATATAGAACAGTATATCTAGTTATAAATAAATTTATAAATCTATAACACATGAGGAAACATTTGTATTGATTTCTTTTAAAGCAAATAACGGTACGAGGCTTCAAAGAATACATTGCAGAAGCAGTGTCAGTACCAGCAGACTCACAAAGACTTATTTATTGTGGTAGAGTGCTTCAAGATGACAAAAAGTTAAATGATTATGGTAAGGAATTTTGCATTGCATTATAGACATCAAAATACATATAATTAAAAGCTACATAGTCCATATTCATTCAAATATTCGTAATACAGATATTAATGGAAAAGTCATTCATTTGGTGCAACGCGCACCACCTCAACCTGGTCAGAGAGGAAATGACAGTGGCCAAAGTCAGGGTCAAAATCATGGAGGACAAGGCTGGCAAAATCCACAAAGAACACATTATAGACTTACTCGAGCCCAAATGCATGGGAATACTATGTTTTTGGGTGCAATGTCTGTACCGGCAGAAATTGTTGAAGAACATGGTATTGCAATAGTTTTCTTACATAGCAGAATCTGTAGTTTGACAGTATTGTCTCTCTATATAGTACTTATTCCATTCAATAGTATTACCAGTACCTCAGTTGAGCAACAGTTTATCTAACAGCCGTTTACTCTTGGCAAGACGAATGCTTCAACGTGCAAATGAACTGGTAGAAAGGCTGGCAGATCCAAATTATCCTCTTAACCCTCCTTCATCTGAAAGTAACCAACCACCTCTGACTCAGGTAGTGCAAGTACACAGTCAGCAATTAGAAACAGAGCATTAGTGAGTATAAAGAGGATCTTACTAGTTATGGTAAACCGTAGTGAAATAAATTAATAAACAACTTCAGTATTTTTAGCAATAATGAAGGCAGATCGAATGGTGGTACCAGACTAACAGAAGCTGCTGCAGCTGCATTTGCGGCTGCCTTCTCTGCAGCTGGAGCAAATGTCAGATTATATAGAGGTATGTACAAACAAAAACTGTATATAATAATGTAAATAATGATACGATATATGAAAGCAGGAAATAGCGAAGACAGTGTTGAGACAGCATCACCGAATGATACTAACGAGGAAAATCAGTCAGATGCACAACAGTCGCAACAATCGCAACAATCGCAACCATCGCCACCATCGCAACCATCGCAACCATCGCAATCTGAACAGCAAGGATCTACGTCGACTAGTGAAGGACAATCAAATAGGCGACCTACAACACAGTAACGATCTCTTATTATATATCTTATAGTTTGTAAGGTGATATACAGTATAATGCATCTAATATTTTTAGGTTTCCACGACCTCCACAGATGGCAGAATTGTTGGAACAGTTAATGAATACTCAAGACAGTTTACGACCCTTCCTTGAGCGTTATCGTGCTCTCATGCTTGCTGACCGAGCATTACCCCAAGGAGTAAGTAGATTGCGTTCTTCAGTATGTCATGCAAATATTACTTCGTCTTTAGACACTATTTCGAATGAAAAGTCGTGAATATTTGTAGAGCGGGCCTGGAAGCGTTGAAGAAAGTCAGAGAATAGTAGACGGTGTCAGTGAAAGCTTACACTATCTGTCTCATGCTTGTCACGCTTTAAGTGATATTATTGTTGACATGGGTCAACAACCACCCAGAAATTTGAGGTGCAGACCCATTATTATTCAACAATCGGCTATTATGCACTCCGACGGTCCAATTCGGGTAGAGGTGAGGATAATTGATACAAGTACTTAAATTGCGTTCTATTTGTAATGAAATTATTCTCTAATGAATTTCTGGCAGGCACATATTAGTGTACATGGTCGGAATGGAAATAACAACAACGCCAGTGAAGAAAACAGTGACACTGCCAGCACGGCTGCGCAATCAGAATCAAATGATGCTAATACAGAAGAAAGTAATCAACAACCAGAACCTGAAACTGGACCTGCTCAACAGCAAGCAGAGCAACAGCAAGATCAAGAACCGACACAATCACCGTTTGGTATGTGTTGTGATTTTGTGATAGATATAACTATAGAGCATTTTGAGAAGCAAGTGAAAATTATTTTCCAGGTACAGTCTTTAATTTGCCAAACAATGTGGAAGTATTAATGGAAGTTAGTCCTGAAGGTAATATCGATACTGCATCGGGAAGTGAACAGTCTCAGTCTGGTGAAAATAACAACAATAATAATAACAATAATGGTGGTAAGTTCTAAACAAAAGGAAAATATTCTCCTATGATTTTAACTGATTCATCATATATAGCGGTTTCGTTTATTTAATATTATTATACCGTCTTTATAGGAAGAATAGGTGGCGTTGCTGGCGCATTCCCCTGGGGTTCAGCTCCTCCATCTGATTTTATACGAAATATAATGCAGGCTGTAGCGGGTCATATGGTGCAAGGTGGTATTACTACCACCACAATTACATCCCAAAATCCGCCAGCAGCTGGACAACAAACAGTTTCATCGCTCGATGGAAATACAAATGCTGGACAAAGTACCCAAGCACGGTACGTTTATCATATTATATGTATATTTAAATAGCATAATTGTTACAGATTTTGTCAGTCTTTGATATTTATACCTGCCATTACGCATTTACTTTACATTCTATTATTATTAATTACAGAAGTAACGTAGGTACTCACCCTACTACAGCAACACATACTAGAAGCACATCGCGCCCACACGTATTTCATCAACAGGCACATCCTCTGGGTGTTGGAATGAGTATAGGTCAAGGACTTGATTTCGATCCTTTACTTCCTTGTCATTCGCATCACGTTCAACGTCGAATGGCAAATACAGCTTCCAGGACTGTTACTTCAACATCACAGGGAACTCGGACGAATCAGGCATCCACAACAGAAACTCAGACTCCGGCACAAACAGGTATATAACTCAAGTGAATGTGAAATAACAATTGTCGTACAATGTAAATTAAACTATTATATTCTCAGCAACAACTTCATCAACCACGACCAGTAACACGAGCTCCACAAACACCACTGGCAACATTAACATCAACAGTAACAGTAAGTAATTATAAAATACGTTAGCTTTTGACTTCACAACTTATACCTATTTGTTGTATTACAGGTCCTGATTTAGCCGAAACACTCGACCTTGCAATGCGGTTGCTTTTAGTTAGTAATCCGAATTTAAACATAGGGATGGTAGTAGATAGGTTTGTTTATTACTTACATGATACACGATTTTTATTTATTACGTAGAATGTGGCACTATTAACATTATTTCGTATATTAGGAGCCTGGGTTTCAGTCAAGCCCGGCCTAATGGTCCAACTGTGGCAGACGCTTTGCATCCCTTCACGTCGCTTTTCGATTTACAAAATCCCGGGAATGAAGGAAATTTCCTTGTGAACTTAACTGTATTAGTGGTAATGACAACAAATATTTGTTAAGAAATGTTTATACTTTGACATAGTATAATAACACAGAATCATTTTTGTATTAAAAACAAAAATAGTTACAAAATATGACACTAGAAGATATGATGAGATTCCGGAGCGGCCAGTGGGAACCAATGTCTCGCCAAAGGAGACCATTGCAAGAATTTTTCCAAAACAACTTTCCAAATACTACACCGGAAGAAATGCAAGAACAGGCTGCGCAACAGCTTTTATCACAATTGAGACCACATCTGCAAAGTCTGTTAGCGACGGAAGAGGATTCCAGTGGTAGAAGTGGTTCGCGTGTTATAGATATTTGTGCAACTGTAGAAGCTTTACTTCAGCGTCATATCACAAATATTCTACAATTACTGTTCAATAGTGGTTCGTATTTGTAGATCGTAATTTATTGTAACGTATTCTGTTTTCAATACCATAACTCAATTCTTCTTCAAGATATTAGCGACAGTACGTTCGGGCAAGAAATTTTCACTACTCTATGTCATTTGGAAAGACAATTATGTGCAGTATTGCGATATTCCATTCGTGGTGGTCAAGCAGGTTTGGAAGCTATTGTGACGCGTTTTATGGTGAGCTACATAGTCAACATAGTTACTGAATTCCTAATTCACATACATTAATAATTGAGTCATACTTTAAATAGACTGAAAGGTTCGAAGACAGTCACCCCTGTTTACGGTTGTTTGTGGAGGACGTTTTCATACCCCCTTACCGTAACGTGACGCAACCTCCTGATTCAGAAATTCTTCCACTTTTAATATACAAGAATGTACCCTCCTCTCAACCGTCTGTTGTGCCTTCGGATTCGGCACATCAACCTTCACAAGCACAAACCGAGGCGGAGGTAAGTTATACGTCAAGATGTTATAAAATAAAAATAGCATTGATACAAATCTAATAAATCATTGCCATTATAGCCTGTAGAGGCTGAAGTTGTAGAAGAAATAACACCTGTAGAAGTAACTCCAGCAGATGATGGTGAGGAAGTTCCAGAGACTTTCCCAGGTCATGAAGCATTACCTTCAGTAAGTCCATATCTACAGGCTTGTAGAAACTTAAAATATAAATAGTGATGATATAGAAGAAATTGTGCATTGTAGGACTGGGTACCAATAATTGCTCGAGACGGCGTAAGGCAACGTCGTCAACTACAAACACAAGGAATGACAAATGGTGGTGTAGCAACATTCAGCGATGCCTACTTAGGCACATTGCCCACTAAACGTCGTAAATTAATTGAACAACAGAAACCACGATTATTAGTCAGTCCTACACCAAATCACTCAGCAATAACAGCGTCCATGGAACGCTTAGTTAGAGAAGGTGTGAATCGAGCGGGTGTAGAGGAAGTTGATGGCGCTGCCGTCGCTGTCGCTGTAGATCCTGGTGTCAGACGTGCATTCGGTCAAGCAATCAGAGACTGCTTGAATCCACGCAGATACGGAACACCAGATTTTCCAGATCCCTTACGTTTCCCTAACGCCACTAAATATTTTTCGGATCAAGATAGACCACCCAAATAATAATTCTAATCAGGAAGCAATTTATAATGGCTTAGAGTAATCATAAAGGAGACACCAGGTAGCTTTAAAAAAAAAATTGAAAAATTGCAGTGACCAAGGAAAATATATAATATATTCATAACTTGTAACCACGAATATTATTAGTAATTGTAACTGTATACGCGAGTTTAATGGAACACCTCTAATGATTTTGATAAATCTAGGATATATTCTAACGATATCACACAGTGGAATATTACATAAATAATTAATTTTGTGTAATTGGTGTAGTTTATAATCTTGTGAGATACATTTGATTTTTAAATATATAAATATGTTACATAATTAATATTGTACTCGTACACTATTAGAAATTCCAATATGATTGGCTACCTTTGCTCTCCATTGTACTCTAAGCATAAATTGACCTTAATACAAAACTATATTAACACTTATTTCGTATTAAAGCGCGATTTCTGTAGAATTATTATTCAACAAATGAAGTGTGTTATTCTTAATCAAACGACACCTGTGTAGGTATTATGCAGATGATAATACGTATTAGTAATTAACATGTAACTTATGCGTATTGTATGCTATTTAAGTGTCGTCGATATTAATAAGATCTTTTTAATATTGATTCTATTCGTTTAATACCGATGACACTGATGAATGTCAACTGTAATGACATGTAGTCCAATATCCAATTTAAAAGATGCAGAAGAAATATGCGAATTCATCAGCGGTATTTAAAAGTTATTAGTTGCGATTTAATACGTCCCATTGTAATCACTAATTATCTAAGACGATAGTTTGTACTACATAAGCTTTGTTGTATAATGCGTTATAAACTGTACCCAAATGACACGTCCTTGTAATTTATGTAGATAATTTTTTTGAATTACGTAGCGTCACAAGATCATTTTGACACGGACTTTTTATACAAAACAAAACACTGGTATCAATATAGTTTTATGGAAAATCTTAATAGAGTGTACCAAAAATAAGTTTAACCGTCTTAAAACTTTCAAATGGCAGTCATCTAATTTTAATATGAAAAACGATCGAATAGCCTAATACGATGTAGACGATATCAAATCGTATTCGTATCAATATCAACACCGAGTATAAATATCATTTGATAGACCGTATGTAATGTTAATAAAGTATCTGAGACAAATTACAGGGGAATAATTTTATAAAGTACCACACAGTTACATACTGTGTTTGTGTAGGTAACCCACTTGTGAAATTATTGGTGGTTAAGATATAATCTCGTACTTATCAACAATAAGTCATACTTTAGTTAATGATTTCTACTACAGATGACGTAACTGAGACATCTTGTAAAGCGATTTACACTTATATAATTTATACCACCTCAAGTACTCTTTTTAAAGATCAAATGGTGATCTATAGCTTTCTGTTTACATCTTACGTTAATTTTTTACTTCACTACAACTTCTTCCCAGTTGGATAATTTCGTTTCATCAGTTACATAAAACTTCCATTTGGTTAGAAAAGAGTTCAACATAGTTTTGGATGATTTTTTTTTATTTTTGAAGTTCTCGACACAAAATGTTTCAGCGATCTGAATGGTCACCTGACAGATGATGAATTGGGCAATACCTGTTAAAATGTAGATGCTGCAAACTATTCCAGTCGATGCAGTGTAATGTCTTCAACAAGATATGACAGAATATTACGGTGTCACGAAAATGCACTGACTGCTCGCTCTTATTTTTCCGTTGGTATTTGTCGCAGTAACAAAAACTCGGCAAGTGACATGTATTGATTTTTAATAAATTTATTTCCATTTTATTGAAGTTTCAACGGAGACTTCAACCCCCCTTGACATCCTAAAATAGCATCCATAAAATTCCTAGTTTTCTAGGTTTCTTTCTCTTTTTCAATTTGAATTTCGTCAGGTCCCATAAAACTGGTTGACTATTTCTCTCCTTTTGTAGCTGTCGCCATCTATAGATTTCGTTGTCATTCTTTCTCGCCGTTTTGAAATGCCCGCTTTATATCCTCGTTTACCGGACATATGTTTCCACGCTACTTTCGCGCGTTCACGTTTCGTTGAATATTTACGGCACGATTCGTCAGTGACTTAATAATTTACAAGGTATGTAGCTATGAACGTTCAAGCTTTCGTTTCATGCAACCTGAACCGTCGATGTACTTTTCTGTTTAGCGCAAAAGGAACGTGAAAAAGCTGGGTACATTATACAGTGATTGAAATGTTCGCGATGGTCGGTGGAAAAATACCCTTCGGAAATGAAGAAAACATTAAACGGACGATTACAGATTTATGAGACACTTAATATTCCAAGTACGTAATTTTCCCATATTATCCTTCTATTGGTACATACATAACCATCTTGCAAACGTACATCAAAATCAACAGCAAAGAGGTTAAGGACTTTTCTTCTATGTGTTACTGTCTATAACATCCGGTACAATTTTAGTCGGTTCAAGACGCGCGATAACGTTAACATTGTGCTCCAATGATTCTCACTTCTTGTAGCTCGGTGGCGTACAGTTGAAACGGTAAGAATCGTTGGAGCACTGTGTGTACATATTGTGTACACGCCAAACATTCGACGACAGTGCCGCGTTATTGCCGGAGTGCGTGGAGTATTTGCGTAGAATTTATGTAAAACTCCGCGGAGAGCATCTTTCAAATAAACGTTCCCAAAACACGACGCCGCGAATCTCTGTAGGTGTCGCCGGTTAAGTTGCGAGGGGCGTATAAAAATTCGAAATTCATCGAGCCAGCCCAGGGACACATTCCGTGCCCGTTCAGGTGCTATTTTCGACTCCATCGAGGATTAAGCAGCTTTATCGTCGTAACAACACACTCGATTGTTTGCCAATGCCAATCCTTTGTCCGTGATATCGGTGTGTAGACATTCGACGCGAAGATCCGATAAATCAGTTATCATGCTATTATCGGAATAAATGTAGATAAACAAGTTGACGCTTCCACGGCGTGTTACGAAATCGAGCCGGCCATCTGGAATCACACACGAACGACTGACACATTTTCTTTTTTTTTTTTTTAAATGAGCCTCATAGGATGCTAAATCGCGGTATATACCAGGTGTATTGTTGCACGTCGAAGACACGAGCTCCCTCTCCCTCTTTTTCTCGGCGGCGATAACAACGACGCGTTGCGTTTGGAATGTTTGTTCAGGCACGTAGTGATCGCGTTCTGTTTGATATTTGGTGTTCAAAACAGAATAACGGATATACAGTAAATCATCGATGAGTGTTCGAATGTTCCTCGCCACTGTGTGTTCAGACGTCATCCCCACCACTGCGGAGGGTGGAGGGTTTCGGTGGAGCCAGTCAAGCGTCCAGTAGTGGGGATGACGCCTGAACACACAGTGCGGAGGAACCTTCGAACACACATTGACGATGTATTGTATATCCTTCTTCAACCCCATGCCCTTTTTTTCTCATTTTTTTACATGTTTTAAATTGCGTTAAATTACTCTCAGCTGCCACGAGCGAATGTTTTTCCTAACGCTTGGTATTTTCGTTCCAATTACACGGTATCTCCGGAAACAAGCGTAGCTGTTGTTTAATTAAACATCGCCGATGCGACTGTAAAGTGCAATATTCATGTGCCATTGCATTTTATATGTATATCTACTTATTGTTAGTAAACTCGAACGGCAAGATATTGAACGCTTCCGAATACGTAGGGGGAGGTCCTTCTATCACTTAATCTCGGAAGTTACCGAAATTTATGTCAAATTAACTAGCGGAAGCCGAGTTTGCACGTCAGTGTGCATTCTTATCCAGAAAAGTGTGCATCAAATCTCGTCGATTGATAACTACTAAAGGAAAAAAAAAATCGGTTTCAAATGTTCAACCCAAGGGTCATCCACGTCCACGGAAACTGCTCCATACAACCATCGACGCGACCGTAGTTCGTTCGTCGCGCGATAACATTCGAACTCGCGCGCACGCACCGCGTAGGAACGAATTAAAAACGGTCTCGTAAAAAGGAGAGAAGAAAAGTGGGGTGGATGATTTAATGGCAGAGTGGGCGGGAGATTCGCGCCAACCCTTCTTGTATTTAGAAAAAAAAAAAAAAAAAAAAAAAGAACGAACCGAACGAAAGAAAGCAAAACGGATTTCCCTTCCTCTGCCAGTTGCCACTCGCTAATAGGCGCTCGTTAATATTGCGAGTGCCACTCTTGAATATCGAGGAGAGGTTTCCTACCTTTCCACCCCCATTTTTTTTTCCAGCGTATTCGCCATTCTCCTCCCACCGTTGCTCGCCCCGTCACGCTTCCTCCGCCTGGGGTCGCCCGCGGCCTGTATCTCGTTTTCTCGCTCGCGTCGCGCGGGTCGTTGTGCGTTCTCTCTTTTTCGTCCCCGTCGCCGCCGCAACGCGAGCGTTCGTCGGATTAAGGCATAATGAAATTACGAGGGTCGCGTCATTTTATAAAACGATCGTTAAGCGTTAAGAGTGTTCGCTTGCCGTGGGCTCTCGTCGAAATGACACCGCATTGAAAACGATCGATCGAAAAATCTCTGGCCAAAGAGCCCCAGCGCGTTGTGTCGCGCGTCGACGAAGGGGACCGAATTTCCGTATAGGGCCGAAGGGGCGGGTGGGGGGAGGTGGAAAAGTACGACGGCCAGAGGGGAGGAGCGAATCGAGTGAACTCGTGAAAAAGAGAGACGGTGAAGTAGAATTTTATGTACAACACCGGGACGCTAATAAATCGGCGCACCCCTACCCTTCGGCTCGTCGGTTGTAAAATCGATTATTAATTTAATCCGGACGTTTTGACGGAATATATATTGGAATTCCCGAAAATCTCCGCACGAAAATGATGCGCATTGACATAGGTTGTTATGAACGCTGCCACCCCATCCCTCTCCCCCAATCCCCTACTCCTTGCCGTTATACACGCGCGCGCGCAAGGAATTTTATGAACACCCGTGCACCTCTGTTAACATTCCATGTGCCGAAATTCATTATAATTTATTGATACGTCAAATATATATCCGGTCGTTGGTATTTATTTCAAAACGGTATACCTATGTAATATGTACCAACGTTACCGCGCGCGCAAAACCGGCTCACGGGGGTGCAATGTTGTCTAAAACGGTGGTCAGAATCTCGA